CTGATTTTTTGCTTGATTTTTCAAGCTGATCAGACGTTCATTTCTATGTCTATAGTAATGAGGAGAGGAGATTTCCATTTCTCCCACTCCTGAAATCTCGATCCTTGGCGTATAGAACCAGAGATGAGCAGCTCATCTATGATAGAACTCTATAGTGTGTCGTTCGAGCAGAAGCGTGCACTGCGCGTTTCTCTCGGCTCACGACTCTGTGAGTGTCTCTCACAAAAATGTATTTGGCTCGAAACTCTACCTAGTTTCTTGATCCTTTTCAGTGTATTAGTGGGGCGAATCGGAAAAAGATGGTTATAAACCACGTTAAAAAGGTTGGCCATCGAGTGTATAAAAATTACACCCAAGAAACGTTTCAGACTGCGCTCGAGCGGGAAAAACGGGCCCAAATAACTTTAACAGATACTAAAGAAATTTGTGATGTTTTATATTGGTTTCTTCTTTTTAAGGAGAATAAAATGTATTTTAAGACATTCACAAAGACTAGCATTTATGCTTTCTTTCATGAATTTCTAGATTTATGTTGTTTTACTTCTGCTCGAGAAAAAAAATGAGTAAATTCAACTCATTTTCTGAGTCAAATATAGCGAACTCAATAAGCCAGTTGGTTTCACCTAGATTTGGAGCAAAATCACATTTTACCGTTGAATCAACTCGAGATTTGACTGGAACAGAATTGAAAGCTCCAAATCTAAATTGAGGCAACTGGCTTATTAAGTTCGCCATATTTAACTCAGAACATTAGATGAATTTTCTCACTTTTTTTTCCGTCATGAGTTAATAAAGAATACGAGAAAACATATGTTTTGTGACAAGAATGTTCGAGCGATCGAGCGAGAGTCGACAAGATTCTCCTCGGTCGCTCTGTTTACATTTGGGGGTCACCGGCGCCAACGGTTGGCGCCGTCCGCACCGCGCGCGTATCGTTTTCGGGGGGGCCCTCGCTGGAATTCGGCCAGCGGGGCCCTTCTTCGTTCGTCGACCGGCAACCGAGACGGAACACCGGCAATCGAGACCGTTGCTCACCAACCCTCGTCGTTTCGAGACTCTTTTGTTTTGTTCGTCCGCGAGTGATCAATCGCGTGTGCCTCGACCGAGGATTATTGCCGCCTCGACCGAGGATCCGGACTCCCGGATTTAAATAAAAGGAATCCTATTCGAAGACCAAGTAAGTGTACTTGATTGACACCCCCCCCCCCCCGCTCAGGCCCTCCGAGACGCGAACCTGCTCGAGCGCGTGTGACCCCTTTTTCGAACCCGGCCCCTCTGACCGGCGTTTAGCCAGCCGAGGCTCGGCCCCCGGAAAATCGACCCGTATCGGCGTCCCCGGCGAGGACGCCTGGCGCCCCTCGATTCCCGATCGGTCCGCGCGCCGCCGCGCAACATCCGCGCCGCGTCGCCAGCCCGGCTCGAGGAAATTCCAGCCCCGGGCGCCCGAACTCTTGCGACGTGGCCTATGCCCCGATACCACGTTACAGTTTGATGAGAGTCGCACTACGTATTCTTAATAGCAGATTATATTTTCGATTGAAAAACGAAAAAACTTGTTTCTTGAGCGTCTTGACCTAATATTTCTAATTTTTTGTACGTATTGACCCCCCATTTGGAGTCTATTGGGACATCTATAAAAAAAATATGTCAAAACTATGGCTCACCCTGTTAATTGCTTCCTAATGGCATTCAAGAATATTTATCAGTTATCTAAAATTGAAACAAATTTGTTAAAAAAAAAAAAAATGTTACTAACATAAATATCTAAAAATCGTACTGATTGACCCCGTGTGACGGTATTGAAATTGTTAATATTTATAAAATTTATTTCTTTTTCGCCAATTAGCGCTGTTCTCGCCGTGTTCATCGCCAAGGTAAACAGGGAGAAGGTCCTCCCGCCGAAAGGTAATAAAACAATTATATCGCTTCCGGAGTTCATACTTCTTCAACTGCTTTTGAATGGCGGATTACAATACAGGCTATTACAAACTGTGGGTAGCTAAAGTATTGGAAGTTCCGTCCGGAGGACAACGACTTTCATTTCGGAAACTATTTTCACTTCAGCTAAGGAAAAGTAATGTCAAAATGTGCAAAAAATATTGTGTATCATTTTCACCTTGAAAATGACACTGCGCCAATTTTCACTATCATATTAATAATCAATGGGCCTAGATACGTAAGTATAAGATGTTCAAAATTATTCAGAGGCATGCATTTTTCGGAACCACCCAAGAACGGTAAGCCATCCGAATTGCGATCGAGTCCATCAACACTCAACTTCGTCGGTAGCACGAGGACAGAGGATCGGTGGGGTAAGGGGACTGCATACTTGTATCTTTATATCCGCTCTGGACGCCGTTTGTCCGAGTGAGATAGCCTATTTGATGCGCTATCCTTAGAAATTGTAGGACAAACTTATGCGCCTGGGTTTTGGGCCCTGACCAGGAATAGACTACCCATCGTCTGGGCCGGCTCGGCTCGGCCCTCGGCTGGGGCTCGAGGGTCCTAGACGTTCTATTTTACTCCTACGATATTTAATTTCACAGGCTCGTTAAAAGCGCGCGAGCCCCGAATTGGGGGGTCCTGTTGCCATCAGTCGGCGGCCGCTCTAATTAGGCGGCCTAGTGACCTATTTGGGCAAGGCCAGAGGGCAGGCCGGAGCCTGCTAAGAGGTTCCGCGGGACCCACAAGGAGGACAATGATGCTGGAACGGAGGATCTTCCGGCGTATCCGGCATTGCCGGAGGGACTACCGCACTCGTTACAACTCACCAACTTCTCGTCCCGCCAGCGGCAGCTTCGCTCTTCCCGCAGAGATAGTCCCAAAAAGTGCCATGCCGTCCCGTTGCCGAAGAGAGAGCAGTACCGTCCCGAGAGCTAACGACGCTGCCGCCTTTCGAAGGGAGTCGTCTCCCGTAAGAGCGAATTGTGCCAGTGAGCCGAGCCTGTCCAGGGGCCCTCTTTACCGCAGTGTCCTATCCTTTCCGTGAACCGAGTTCGAATCGATTCCGATTTTGCGTTGAGTTCCGTTTCCGCATTGGAACGTTCAGTTTCTGAATCGAACTGTGATTCGGATTTCTTACTGATTAAGGACCGATTAGAATTACCGATTCTCATGCTATAATGCGCCGACTTGCTACCGCCTTGTTGAGGTCCCATATCGCTTCCGAGTTCCCGATTCCCGCCATGAAAGGGCGCGGGAAAGTTCCTTTGCGGTTCGTAGGGTGCCGACTGGCCTGGAATCGGGAGTGTCGTTTAAGGACCGCGGGTAGTTCGTCCGGGCCACGTCCATTTCCCGTTTTTAGCGGCACCGTCCGATCTGCGGAGTTGTAGCGAATTCCTTCGAGTTGCATCTCACGTTAAAAGCCGGAAATTGTCAGGAGCAGACTTTTGCTTGCCCCCTGCTATCGTCCCCCTCTCGTCTCATGGAAAATTATATCGGAATTACCGCCGTTATTCTCGCCGGAAGTGGTTGGTGGAATTAGCGTAGCCACGTACGCGTGGATTAGGGTGAGCGAGTGGTGTAGGAGCCCTACGCGGGCCGGTGTAACTGTTACGTATCGCTGCGCAGTTACCGGGCGCCGGGCCCTTCCGGAGGCTTCGAGGGGCATTAAAGGTCCTCCCGACCGGGCGTTGCGCCCTTTTGGGCGCCTACCGTGGGGTTATCAATCACGACGCGGCCTTGTTAATTTTGTATTCCCGTTCTCTACACTTCCATTCGACAGGTGTCCCTCGTCCGGTAATATTGTACCGTGGACGCGCCCGTTATGTTGAGGTCGCACGAGGCACAATAAAAGATCCCGACGGGTTGTTTATCGCACGGATTTTGTTTCATTTAGCAAACCTTCTATGTTCCGCGAATTTCGAGGACGACTCTCTCTCTCGGTTGATTCGTTATCGCGCCGAACCCCCCGGCTCTACTGTACCACGAAGAGCGTAAGTTCCTCGCGGGGCTGAGTGGTCAGTCGAATACGTTCGGGTAGGTCCCGCCTAACGGGCCGAGTCGGCTTACTTGTGCTACCGGGTACCGGAATCCCGAGGTGCGCGCGCGCACCTGGCGCCTTCAAATAAATCGGGCTTCTGAAAGAGCCGACGATCGGGCTTGACATCCTTTCTATACTCGAGACGGGGCGTATGACGGCTTGCCAGTCGGGAATAGGAATTTTCGTCGCAATACTTATTTTGAATGAATTCAATTTATAAAAGTTACTCGGATTTGCGTTTAGAAAAAACTCGGATAAGGATTGTCTTACTTATATTTACGGGTGCTCATTTACATGCTCATTTAATGACTTACAGGTGTCCATTTATTCGAGGAATACGAAGAAAAGTGTAGAACGTAAGTACATAAGAGACATGAAATCATAATTCCGCTTCTATGTTCGAAAGTGGATGCATCGTAAATTTTCCTACGGCATTTCACTTTAAATATTAGCAAACTATTTTTTTAAGCTAAGATAATATTCTAACTGCGGTTCAGTGAATAGAACAATTGAATCGCTAAAAAACTTGTTAACATTTAATAATGTTTTATTATATTATTTTAAAAATTCTGTAAATTATCATTTAACAAAAACTACGTTAGGTGGGTCAGGGACACTCCACAATAATACTTAAATAATTTCCATTAATTGTTTTTGTTTATGAATATTTATTGAGTTTAGGAAATCCATTCTGCCCCTCAGGCGATTCAAATTCCGCGGTACTCCCGCCGCTAGTACGCTTCGCGGCCCGAGAGGGCAGTGCGGACCTGGAGGTAACCATCGACGAATACCAGTGTTCGATGGAGACGTAGTCACAGGAAACGCAATTTCTGACCTTAACTCTGTGGGTACTCTGTGCTACTCTCTGTCAGAGTGACTGATACTGTATTTTAAGCAATGAGCATTGTAGTGTTATTAATTTACGATTCGTTATTAATTCATGATTTATGTAACGTTTTTTAGTTTCCCCTTTTTGATTAATTTATTCTCACGTTGCTGTGTTCTGGAAATATTTTAGGTTATACCGCGTTCATGACAGGAATTCAAAAGAAAGTTGTCGATCGACCGTTCTGAATAACGGCACGATAACAGCAGCGCTGCAGTTTTTCCCGAAGGAATTTGCAGTTTTCCTGTAAAGATGTATAAAGTTGGCCAACGAGTAGAAGTTAATGGGAAAGACTGCTGTGGGCATATTGCTTATATAGGTAATCCCACCTTTGCTTCTGGTAAATGGATCGGTGTAATTCTTGATGAACCTAAGGGGAAGAATAATGGTACAATTAAAGGGCATTCTTACTTCAAGGTAAGGCATATCCCATTAAATTTATTGTTCTTATGTTTAATCTTCGATTTATGGTTGTTTTAGTTTTGATTGATATAATCTCTTTATTATTACGATGTGACATCATACTAAGCCATTTTTTGAGTTGTTATGTCACTATAGTGATTTTTCTCCGAGTGACATTTCTTAATGAAAAGCCACTACAATGGCTTACGTATTTTCTTGCTCTGGAAGCTGTGTGCATCGCGTGGATGGCGAGGAAATTTCTTCATATTAGTCACATTGTGATTGTGTTACTTTCATCTGTATAGGCGATAGCGTTCCTTGTTTAGATCTGTCGTAACTAAAGGATTAATATTAGTTTTTCAAAAAGGTAGAATGAAGGTTATGTTGAAAAGAACATTTTTTTAATATTTTAATGATTTAAACTAGAGTGTTTTAATTATTGTGACATCTTGATGAATGTAATATAAAATAGTATATATTTCATTAAAAACGATATTTGTATCAACTCAAATGCCATTTAATTATCACGTTTAATACAAATAATTATCAATAAGAGATATGAAAGTATGGGGTCACTTTTGATTGCACAACTGAATGAAATGTATCATAAATAATATAATTAAGTTAGCTGTTAAATCTGGTGTTGCCAGGGCTTGTTTCGTATTTATTCTATAATTTTAATTCCATAAGTGATAAGCAATATAGTCATATTTTTTTAGATTACTATTTTTGGATATACTGCATTCAATTTTTTCCTATTCCAGAGTAATAATATAAATTGTGTATCCTTTCCCCAGGTATGATAAGGTAATATATAACTATCCATGTTATGACAATAATGATGGCCAAAGTAATTGACATTTTCATTTGTCAATAAGCTCCCTGGTACAATAAAGTAATAAAACAAAATCTATATTATTCAAAAGGTCATAACAAATACCTATAAAAATTGGATTAAAATCAGTTCTATAGATTTTGCGACTACCATGCACATTCAAATATATAATCTTCCTTTTCTTTCTATTAGTATAAATGTGTAGTATGTTTATTATTTACTGAATATTAGTAGTAGATTCCTATTAATATATAGATTGAAGATTTCATTAGCCGGAGAAAAGTGATACACCTATCTCCGTTTTTCATTTTTGTTTTGTCTGATCCTTATATATTTACTATAGGTTTTATATATAGTTCATTATAAAATGGATTTGTGTATGCACTTTTTAAAAGAAGTTATTTACTTTATATCATATTAAGTGACTATATCTACTTTGTAATATCATTAAAAAGAATATGTTCTCTTATAGGGAATAATAATTGTAGTTGGAATTTAGTGTAACCATTTTGTTGATATTTTAGAATATACCACAGTGTATAATTAATCAATGTCTTAATTTTAATCTGATTGTTATGAGCAAGAAAATTGCGTGTAATTTTGGGATGTAAATCATTTGGAGTCGTTGATATGCCATGTATACTGCAGACAGCAATCGCAATGCAAAGAAAAAGAGTTCTAGCTTTGAATGGTTTAAACTTGTTTGTAATTTTATTTTACTGTTTAGTGCCAGGAAAATCATGGAATGTTTGTGCGGCAATCTCAACTCATTTTATTGGATGAATCTGGAAATCGGGTGGAACCTGTTAGTCCATCTTCTGCCGGTAGCAGTGCTACGACACCCGATGACAGTGGGGCAGCCAGAGCTAGAAGTCGTCTGAATAGGTACAGTTGCATACAATTCCAAAATACTTTGATATAAGCTCTCGTTTGTGTATTACTGCATATTAGACGAGGAAGTTTATAAATGTATAGAGGTCAATGTGGTTAGCTCTAATGCTACTTTTATTCTGACCGCTTTGAAGCTATGCCACCAGGTTGATCTATTCTTACAAAATCGATTTTTTTACCTGTTGGTTAATCGATTACTCTCTTGTTTCTTGAAGCTCGCGATTTTTCTAGATTCGATTCTTTTCCCCTAAGAATTTAGAAAGTTAGATGTTAAAACGATTGAAGGCTGTTCTGGAATATTTCCGTACCCAAAACGCTAGATAACGTATAAACTATATGCAATTACTTTGCATTGGCCAGTGGCTTAATTCATACCGGGAGTGACAAGCAACGAGCAGCAAGTGACAACCAATGCACGAAGCAATTTTTCTACCCTCTCATTGTCGATTCTGCAAAATCCAGCAATATTATCAGTTGTCGCTTGCTGCTCATCGCCTGTCGCTCCCAGCCTGAATCAGATCGTATTCCTTCATAATACAAATGAGGTGGAACGGGGTTGAGATAACAATATAAAGTAAACATTTTATACAATTGTCTGATGTTTTAAGCTTTTTGAATATGTGACGGTTTATTATATTAATAAACAGAAATTAGAGTTAAAAAGTTGTTGCTGTAGTAACAATACTGTAAAAGCAGTATAAAATAAAGTAAATACTAATGATGTTCTTTAAGTAACGTGAAAGTTACTTAATATTTTTCTCTCAGTTATAATGGTTGCTTCAAGGTAAGCACTTAGTTTCATTTAGTTTCATTGGATTAAAACTTAGTGCTTTATTCAAATGTGTCTGATTATGTCAGATAACGTTCACTTATGTTAAGGTTTGTCGAACTCCTCTAATCACGTTTAAATAAAATGTATTGTTTTATTTGATAGTACCGACTTGAGATGTACTTTTCAACCCATATTTATTGCTTCAATTATATTAATCGATTCCTTAGAATTGATACATTTTTTACTAATGCATGGATTTCAAAATTTGGAATTTCCTGGAAAGGATTATTGATCAAAATGCATTTACTTTTGTTTTCTTTTGAGTTATCTAAAAATGGAATCCTTTTCTTGTTCCGCTACTCTGTCCACCTGTCTTGGGAGAGGGGGGCAGTCATTTTACGGATGCGTCGACACGCCAGCACATATTCTTTCCATGTGTATAAATGGCCATAGAACTTCTTTCGTCAAAATTCTAATGGAGAAATTTACATCATGAGCCACATTGTTGTTTTAAGGTGTTTTGAAGGTTATATGACTATGGATTAAAACAAATTTTAAAGTTAAGGTGAAGTGAAACACCCTTCAAATCAGTCGATTCGAATACAACACTTTTTTTTAAGGGTATTAGACCAAACCGTCCGAAACTTTGACACATCACTCCTGATCATCTAAGAATTGTCCTGACACATTCAAAATTTGGATTTTTGAAAAAAACTTTTTAACTCAGCCCAAATGGGAACCAAAATGGCGTCGAGCTCTCATATTTCGATTAGTATATAATTATCGAAGGTTCTGATATGAGAAACGAAAGGGTCAGGACAATTTTACGACAATTTAGAACACTTTGATAGTCGATAAACTCGCATTTGAACGGGATAAGGGCAAAAAAAGTGTTGTATACGCTTCTATGCTAAAACGATGGTAATACGAGGTCTCGGAGTGAAAATTTAATTGACCTGGAAATCACAGATGGCGCAGGGGGTCCCTCTGCAGTCAATTAGGGCCCCACAAAGCATGAATCCAGAGGATTTCTAGAGTTTTACTTCGATTTCTTAACAATTATTTTACGAAAACGACAGGTGGAGTATGCCATTTGGTACAATACCCAATATAATTCGGTACAGCTGTCGATATAAAAACGAACGTCGGCAACGTAGGCATTTAGAAAAATCTTCTTTATCGACGTTGATCAAGTTAATCGACGTGTTTCACTTCACTTTAAGTGGCCTTACAAATTAAAAATATACTCGAATTCGACGCTGTTAGTAATTAAAAGTTAATGCATTTCACTGTTATTATATAATTTGTTAGAAAGCATTTCATCACTGTTCTTCTCAAGGAGCTTTTTTATGCAAGATATTTTTGATGAAATAAATGCTTAACAAGGTATAACTTTCTGCACCAGCAATAGCATGAGACGGAGAAATGAACCAACTGCGTAAGTTTTGAATAATTTCCTTAAACGTTGTAATCGTTAATTATAATTTTGAGATTGGTCTTTTAGTTTATATATCGTATACATGCATAATGTCCACTTATGAAACTTTGTTGAATTAATGAAATCTTCACACATACATGCTGCTTACGAAAAGTGTCAGAAGGAAAACGTCTCCTGCACAAGCTACACGTCAACAAAGTGAGAAACTTTCGGGGTAAGGGTACTTTTTAAAGAGGTCGCGATTATATAGTATTTTGAAATCATTGCTTCTCTGTATGCATACATATGTATGTGTATGTACTTACAGGATGTTTCATTTTAGAGTTTCCATTGGAATATCTCTTCAGCAAAGCATTTTCGAAAAAAATTTTTTTAGATAAAAGTAATAGGGTTTCGAGAGGGACAGTTAACGGTAACGTTGACTTTGACCTCGGACTAAAATTTAGGTTATTTCAAGGTCAATTTGATTTTTTTTTAAACGAAAACCTCTATTTCTGACCCCAGAAATAAAAAAAGCATAACATTTTGCGTCCAAATATGCCATCGCGATATTAGGTCAAATTGATCCTTAAGAGTTAGTTTAAGGTCAAAGAAATTACCACTGGAATAACCACTGAGGAAAGCATTTTCTAGGGAAAATGTCTAGACATAGGTTGTAGGGTTCAGAAGTGGATATTAGCAAAGAATTTAGAGGTTTCATAGAAGTCTAGATCTTATGTTAGCGTTTGATGCTTGTGAAAGGTGGCTAATAAACTAGGAGGAGGAGGGAGGAAGAGAGATAGCACACTTTAATTAACAGCAGGGTTAGGTAATTTCACGATTTTCGAGGTTTTTGACGTATATTACGTAAATCAAATAGTTTACCGTAGGAAACGTATCAAATATGGCGGACAAGACAGACGTAGGGCAAGCGGTATCCGTTAGATTATAAACATCGAACTTGTCCATTTGTTTCATCCCATAATTAACTTCTTGGTCTTACATCTTTACACATTTTGATACAAATATTGGTTACGAATCTTACGACTTCAAATAGCCGTTATCAGCCGTTATAAACAAACGTCAAATGCACATATATGCATACATTTCAAATTTCCAAGGCTGAATGTGCGCGGATTCGTGGATGCGTAAAACGCAATCCCCTTAATAGCCAATGAGAATCTCTCTTACAGGTAAATTGGTGGACTCTCATTGGCTATTGACGATATTACGCATGCGCTTTGCACATTTAGTTTGGGATAATATACTTCGTGCCTACGTAGAAAACTAGGGACGTATTATACTTACCCAATCCTGACAACAGTATCTTACATATATGAGAGGGAGACAGACATGCGCAGAAAGGCGAATACTGTGAGTAAGATAATGTAAAAAATAATGCAATTCGCTATGTATTGCCGTAAGATTAAGAGAGATAGAGAGATGAATACAGTGCCGCCATCCGTTGGCTAATGTGCTATTTATCGAGCGTCAAACGTTCATATCCTTCTGGGCTTGTATGGAAACTTCTGAACTCTTTGACGACGGATGGTGATACTGATTTATTAATGGTTACCTAATGTTTAGATTGTTAAACATTTGGTATTATTTAAACGGTTAAATATTTTAAATTGTTTATACCGTTAAACATTTGATATTATTTAAACTGTTAAACGTTTGATATTGCTCAAATTGTTTAATGTTTCATTTTATTTAAATTGTTAAACACTTGATTTGATACTGAGCGCCGAATACAATATTGTCAACAAATCGATGATGCTACCTTCGAACACCCTATTCGGTAAACGATGTTACCTCATTTCAGAGTAATTAAATTTGACCGTGAAAACTAGCAACGCCAATGCTAGGGGTATTAAAGGTATAACAATTTAAACATTATATAACTTTTAACGAATCGATTTCACCATCTGGTGTCCACTTTTGAATACTACAACTTATGGTTTGGATATTTATGTTCAAAAAATACTTTCCTGAGGAGTTATTCCAATGTAAACTTTAAAATGGGATACTCTGTACATACAGGGTGTCTTATAATAGATAATTAATATTTTAAGGAATAAAAGAGGGTGGAATTTTGAACTAGAAGTTCCTTTTCCATTTTTGGCTCAGAACATTTTCCATCGAGTTATTAGCAATTAAAGTTGACGAATGAGATGGGCGCGTAGCCGGAGCACGCAGGGCGGCAGGGGCGGCAGGGGCGGCAGGGGCGGCAGGGGAGTGCACCTTCGAACCCCTCGCTCATGCCTTACGTTCTGCCAGAAAAAATTTCATTGTAATATGTCAAAGTATTTAATAAATGAATGAAAAAATAAGTAAATAAGAATAAAAACAATTATAAATTGATCACATGATTAATGTAATAATAATTATTTAACTGCATAATAAATCAATAAATTACTGACTGACCGATTAATTTTCCAATGAATGGATTAATGAATTGGACAATTGATCGGTCAGTCAGTAATTCATTGATTTATTATATAGTTAAATAATGATTTGTAAATTGATCATTTCATGAATTTCTAACTGTTTTTATATTTACTTATTTCTTTATTCACTTATTAAATAGTGTGAGATATTAAAATGGAATTTTTTCTGGAGGAACGTAAGGAATGAGCGAGGGGCCCCACGGCGTGCTACAATCCTGCGTACTCTGGGAAGGAAAATGGAAAAGGGACTTCTAGTTTAAAATTCCACCCTCTTTCACTCCTTGAAAGATTAATTATCCATTATGGGACACCCTATACATGTATATATTCATATACATATATGTGTAGTCGTACGTATATACGCGTATTCATACTTTTTATATTTGTATTGAAAGGAAGCGCGATAATGTATATCGTGACTAATTTGGTTCACAACATCATTGTTTGAATTCAATTCAAGTATATCTCTTTAATCTTTTTCTTTGACTTGCAGTTCTCGCCTGTCCTTAGCCGATAGTAGAACTCAGTTACATGCTCCAAGTACAGAGAGTTTACCTGGATCACAATATGATCGTAAAGATGGGGGAGAGTCGCATATACCCGCTCCTACGTCCACTAAACGTGCATCTTTTATCGAGGTATTTATTCATTTTCATCAAACTTTTAATACATTCTAAGATACTTTAAAATGATGTAATATACCGTTTGCTTAAAAAGATAGCATTCGTAAAAGGAAAACTTATCAACTTTCTGACAAATAAAAGAAAGTACTGGGTGCTGCTAAAAGATGAATTCAATTTCAATATATTACTCAACACAAATAGGATCCATCTTTTTACAACACCTTGTACATTCATTAAACGATTAGGGTCTTATATTATATTACTAACATTATTAGAAGCAAATTACCAAATTCTCCATATTAACTATGAATATGATATACTTGTATGCACTTTTGAGTATACGAAATAATTGATTGCATATGCAATGGATATTAACAAAAGTAATAAAAATATAGCAAAGTACAAGCACACGTACATATATAGTGAAACGGTAACTAAATAATATCCTACTATAAGTGTTTTATTTGAACACTTAATTTTGTTGAATACCGTTTATTATTTATATAACAAAAACTGTGTAACAGGAATATTTTATCGGGAAATTCTTTAGCTGCAGTATGTAAGATTGACAAATTATTTTGCATCAACGAAGGATCATCATGTACATATGAGTATAAATATTTTTGATTGGAAAACAGCTTGAAACATATATTTATACAAAATATACCTTTGAAATATACATTTACATATGGGGAAAGAGATTAAGTTTTGTAAGCTCTATATATATTTAACCATTTAATAATTCAAGGATCTATAGTGAAGCTGTTGAATTTACAAGTAGTTAATGCCTCCTATAATGAAGAATATATTATGTAGATTCCGTTTTCTATAATCGATTCATTCTTTAAGTATATTCTCTTGTTCACGTTTAATGTAAATTTTCCCTTTTTTCAATGTATTGATTTACACAAATCGGATTGTTAACAAATTATATGTGTCGTATTTCTTGGTATGCGATTCGATATAAACTATTGTAATATATGTAATATGTGTATATTTTGTATACATGTTGATTTGTGAAGCCTTGTAATTAATGTTACAGTAAATATTATCATTTAGTGTCGTAAATTATATTCAAGCGTAGTGCCTGAGAATTTTCAGCGAGATTTTTTTTGCTTAAACTTCCATAATCCGAAATTAATGGTTAAATTTTATCTAGACTCTTAATATATGTGTAAGCTGATTAAGGCAACGAGGACAAACTATTAGGTTAATTATTAGGTTGATACAAAAATAATTGCAGTTTTTAAGCATCGACAGTGTATACAAATTTCCGTTATTTTTACACCAACTTGATATATTTCGTTTTCACCTGAAAATACGAAATAAATAAATAAATAAAGAAGGGAAGGGTATTAGCTAGTTTGTTAAATAAAAATACTATGAGTCTTCATTTTCATACAAAATGTAATTGCACATTTGGAACTTGGTATAGTTCAATTTCATTTAAGAGACCACATATACCGTAATAGTCTGAATTCAGTCCGAGCCTATGCACGGAATAAAGTCAGCCTTCGAGGGTTCGAGCCTCGCGATTCTTGAGACTTGAGTTTTAACCCTTTCGTTACGGCAGTCAGCCGCCACTGAACGCGACACCGCGCCGCAAGGGTGCACATTGCGCGTCGGCAGTCTTCGTCGTTCGAACATACGTCTTCCACCTAAACAACGCGACCTTGACGTCCTTCTGTATGTACACTTTTCTAAGTGTTAAATAACAAATGTTTTGTCGTATTATTCCATTATTCAATTTCCAAATAAAACTCTAACCTTCAACTTTTAAGAAATTAAAAGTTATACCAAATTCTTTCGTCTTCTCATCTGGTTTTGATGGCCAAAATGTGCTACTTATGATCAAAATGTACTTTTAGTATGATTAATCCAATACAGATCAATACAATCAAAAGATACTCTACAGATATGAGAGAAATTGTTCCCGACTAAAGTCGGCGCTCGTACGCAAAAATCGTCATATGTGTGCCGATTATAGTCGGCGATCGTACATCCAGGTCATCGCGCGGATGACGACTATTATAGTCGGCGCTCGTAACGAAAGGGTTAATTTTAATTTAATTTTCAAAAGATGTTGAGACCGACGAGAGAGTGGAAATCGTTACGCGATCAAACAGCTGAGCGAGTGAATATTTTGAGACGGTTTGAGCGAGTTTTTGTACCGTCAGGTGTTCCGGAGTCGAACTGTTTAGCACGAATTTGGCGATTTAGTTTTCTTCGGGTCTCCTTTGATTTTCGGGCCGCTTTAATTCAATTAGATGCATCCTAATCTATTAAAAGTTGGGGTGTCAGTGGGCGATCCGAATATTAAAACAAGTGTAGAAACATGGTTTTGTGCTCTTTATTCGGGTATTGCATCCTCAAGGTAAAAAGTACGTTACAGATTGAAGCCTGGATCGGAGCACACCAAAACGATGTATCGAATCGTTCGAGAGGTTTCTCGAATGCGATGCGCGGGACACAAAGTGCGCTCCGAGTGCCAAACTAAAGAACGACGCGAAATTCAAAATAGGCATTCGGATTGTCATAGTTAAGAAAGGTCGTTCCACGACATAATCCGATTGAAGACGCTTCCATTATTTATGGCTCGAATTCCAGGAAAGGACAGGATGGGAAATTGACTCTCAGTAAGAACGTCTTATTCCATCAATAGGGCGCTGTATTTATTCATCATAGAGCCGAGTGGATTTGGATTCATGGATCGTAGGTTGTAGGGATTAATCTTTGAGCGGATTAGGTGTGAAAGAACGTGAACACCTTTCCCACCTTCTTTTTTTAATTCGTGCTCATAATTCTGCTTCGCGATGAAGGTTAGCCGTCGCTAGTCAAGTCGAATACGAGTACCTTTATTGGGATTCAACTTTGAGAATCACGACCCTGACTCCGGGATGGCTGAGCGGCCTCGAACTGAATTCTTGCTGGTTATTAAGGTGAAGTGAAACACGTCGAGGAACTTGATCAACGTCGATAAAGAAGATTTTCTAAATGCCTACGTTGCCGACGTTCGTTTTTATATTGACAACTGTGTCGAATTATATTGGATATTGTACCAAATGGCATACTCCACCTGTCGTTTTCGTGCAATAAATATCTAGAAATCAAAGTAGAACTCCAGAAATCCTCTGGATTCATGCTTTCTGGGGCCCTAATTGACTGCATAGGGACCCCCTGCGCCATCTGTGATTTCCAGGTCAATTGAATTTTCACTCCAAGACCTCGTATTACCATCGTTATAGCATAGAAGCGCATACAACACTTTTTTTGCCTTTATCCCGTTCAAATGCGAGTTTATCGATTACCAGAGTGTTCTAAATTGTCGTAAAATTGTCCTGACCCTTTCGTTTCTCATATCAGAGCCTTCGATAATTGTATATCGATCGAAAACTCAGAGCACGACGCCATTTTGGTTCTGGTCTGGGCTGAGTTAAAAAATTTGTTTGAAAAATCCAAATTTTGAATGTGTCAGGACAATTCTTAGATGATCAGGAGTGATGTGTCAAAGTTTCGGATAGTTTGGTCTAATACCCTTAAAAAAAAGTGTTGTATTAGAATCGACTGATTTGAAGGGGGTTTCACTTCATCTTAACAACGATGTCTGGTAATGGGACCGCGAAGATACGGGTCTTCCCGAAGCAGTGCTCTCCGGGGGTTAGTGCGACTTATGCTAAGTTATCCAGTTGCGGAGATCGACTGATTTCGGGTTTATAGGAGGTTATGATGGTCGGAGTCTGCTGCAATGCAGGGCCGAAAGGTGGTTGAGAGGAGGACGTTTGCGGGATTGGAGTAACCAGGATGTGGGATGGCGGCTTTGCCAGGCCCACTGGTTTTAGTTCCTGAAAGTAATTAAATCAAAAAGCATACGTTCGCTTCGGTTTTTCGATCTGGTCTTTGAGGGTTGAGTAACAATTCCCAACCCCGAGGATTCAGAGTTCACACCGGAACGAAAGTGTAAATGCGAGTCTCCGTGATGTGTCCTCGCACTTCCGAGGTATTACCCTTCAAAGTCAGAATTCAAGTACCGTCTCGAGGCGCTCCGCGGTTCTCTCACCTAGGGCCTCCATACTCCCTTCTAAATATCGCCGCGCAATATCGCGTGCCCGAATTGCGCCGGACTAATGGTCGCGGTATATAGTGGCGCGCGGTGAACGTTGGAACCGTTACAATACCTAGGATTAAGAAAAGAAAGTGAAATTTCGCAATTTTTTTCGTAGCAAAGTTTGTTTTATTATAAAATCTATAAATCCATCTTAAAGTTCATACTTTTGTATTCATTCAGTAAAATGTTTATAAATAAATATCAAAATAAAACGTGTACACGGGATCCCGTAGTATCGGTTAGGTGGTAAGAGCTTCTGCGGTGCCCATCATAATTCTGACAGTTCTCATTTTAAAGTAAAAATGAAAATATCGTCTTAAAGTACATTAAAAATGGGAATTATATCGGAATTCATACATCCTACGTCCATGGGTAAAAGTGAGTGGGAAGTGTGTGACCAAAATCGAGGCTGACGAGGAGTTAAGGTGATATGAAAGGGTCATTATATTCAGTTCGGAGAAAAGTTTTATAAATATTTTCATATTTTGATATATAGAATGACCCTTTCGTATCACCTTAAGAAGAAGTTGGGGGGGAAAGTGAGAATGGTGCAAGTGAAGAGAAGTAGTGTAAGGGGGAGAAAGAGCTTCCTGCACCCACGAGTCTATGATTCATATTGTGAGGTCACGCCGAGTATTAAAAGACCCGCTTTGCCTCCTCTGTACACGGTGCATCTTTTTTCAAATTTCATAGTACATTTTGTTTTACATAAAATATGCGTACAACTGTTGAAAAAATTTCATTTTCCTCCAAAATCATGTCTATGCAAATCTAGTCTTCTACTTCATACAAGCAAATAACATATATTCAGAATTTATTAACCGATGAAATAAAATTATTGTAATGCTCGCCAAATAAAGTTTTTCTCTTCACATATAGATTCTAATTTTCCTATATATAGTTAGAAGTAATTTACAATTTTTTTGTATTTGGTTGGGGGGAGTAGTTTTGCGCTAGAAACTATATTTACACGGACATACGAATTTGGGGAAAGTATAATTTTGAAATTGATGTACATGTATTTTTGACCGACTTCAAAACCTGAGGAGGTTCTGAATTCGACCCGTATATTTGTATTATACAATAACCCAACTCAGACCAGTAGGGCAATGGCCCGAATTATAAAATTCTACGCGACAGGTGTATCGGCTTAGAAAACATAATGCATAACGTTACCTATAAATATAACAATAAACTTACAAATACAACAAATACAACTACTGATTGCCCGAGATCACCCCGAGTGTCGCCAACCGATGCTAAAATAGAATAAAATAACCAAATTTGGTACTTATTGCCACCGCTCCGCCCCGACTTGTGACGGCAGAATTCTGCCAAGTCACACCTCTCAAAAGAATGTTACAATTTTTGAAATTGGATGCAAAGCATTTCAGTCCAGAAAATTCCGCTAGTAGTTTAAGATAATTTATTTTGAATGCCTTTTTTTCTTCGCTGCAATGCCCATGTGCTCGACCTTCTTCACAGACAGCTGCCCAGCCTGTCATCCGAAAAAATTTCAAAATTATATTCATTACCTCTAATTGGACAACTCGTTTTTTTAGATATTGTCGTGCCACCATAAAAAATCATACTCTAAACGGGCAGTAAAATTCGTCATATTGTCGTTATGGTAACTGAATTCAATTCGACCCCCAAGTACTTGCATTTTTGAGTTGGTTTTAATCCATTTTTCTCGGTATTTCCCACACAAGTCTGTAGTACCCAATTAGTACAGTATTTTAAATTGTTATGCATAGGACGTGAACGTCTTCGATATTGATTCTAAGATTTCGAAAAACGTAAAATATCAAAACCGTTTGTTCTTGGTTCTTGTCTGGGATAAATAAAAACAATTATTTTTTAAATGACGTTTCACAAATGTCATGTTCTTTCTTAAGATGGTATGAAAAGCGCTGAGAAATTTAATCGAAGTCGATAAATTAAAATTCATCTATATCCTTATTGGTGGTAACGTCATTTTGAATACTCGAGCTGTAATATAAGCTGGCGCGTCACGTTACCGACATTTATATTTGCGTTGATGTCTTTTACAGTCCACGTTGAGAATTGTATGAACTGAAGCGTTCCATATGTCATTTCAGTCAAATAATGTTGAAGTGATCGATGTAAAACTGTCGAAATCCCGCGAATTCATTATTCTATCGACTGTTTAGGATCAACGTCGCCATCTGTGGCGTTTAGCTGAAACTAAGTTTCTGCTTTAAAAACATGCAGCCAACATTCTCTTGCAATCGTTGGTGAAAGTATTTTCCATATTTTCCCATCTGGCTCTGTAATATTCCATTTCTACGGTATTCTAAGTTGTTCGAGGTAGGTCTTGAAACTCTTCATTTTCGATTCTAAGCCTCCAAGAAGCGTAAAACGGTGAAAACTTGGACGAACCACGCCATGTTGGTTCTAGTCTATGACGAATAAATTAATTTTGTATGAAAAATGAAATTTTATGAGTTTCAGGACCTACTTTAGGGTCTCCATATTCACGTGGTAAAGTTTGAAGCGAATCGGTACACCCAAATCGGAGAATACTTTCACCAACGATTTGACTTCTCAGATATATATTGTTATGCCGTGAGGTATTTGTCTTCTTGAGGAATCACGACAATTTTATACCACTAACTTTCGTAATTAATTGTTTATTAATTTGCACGTCAAATACTATTGGTCCATGACGACGTGTTGATTCGGGCAGACAGTTACGACTGACTCTTCTCGGGAGCTGAGAGAGCAGGGCTAAGGATAAGACAAAGGGTATTCCTGTGACGAGATACAATTTTGCTGACATAAAAACTAACGCTGCGAAGCGGTGTCCATCAATGTTCCCAGGGTCCGGCGAGTGGTAAAAGATTAAAAGGGAGTTATAATGTTAGGGCATAACAATATATAGGCTGATTCTTTCATATAACCTTAATACCTCCATAATCACTTTCTAAAGTTTTAAATGATTCGGTGCATCCAGTTCGGGGAAAAGTTATGTAGATATTTTGACGCCTCAGAGGCCCGTTTCATTTCACCTTAACATGCGTATTATTGCGTATAATAGTGGAAATAGGGAATATTTCTATGTACCAATTTAATCAGAACATGTTACGATATTTATATATGTTCCGCTACGCCGCATTATACGTTCGTGTATAAAATCATCAACGCATGTCACGTATAACGGGTGTCTTTTGTTCCTTTTTAATAAGATACTCAGATTTGAGACCGAACGCTTAAGAAATGAATTTAAAACCATAAGATTCATGCGGGATTCATATGGGAATATGCACGTACGTGTTTCAGAAATCCCCTAGCACGAGCTCGCCTCCCGGCAAAAAGCCAAAGGCCCAAGATGATCAGAATGATGTAATTAATACTCATTAATTGTAATCTTTCCGTTCTTTAGTACAATCACCTATCCGATATATCTTATACATCCGTGTGTTACTGTTTGTCGATATATCATGGCCTCCATAACACAATTTCATAACGATCAGTAACATTGTTCATCATGCGACTCGTGTGTTCTCGAAATTTTAGTGGGTTTGGTCCGATTAATCATCTTCCCTTGCATCCAATGGTATGCTTTTTCGTTTGTAACCGTGTCTTGGTACGAGCGTTTTCGATAAAGAACCTTCTCCTGTAGATTACTTTGCCCGCCCTCTAAGGAAACTGGGAAAGAAAGGATAAAGTAAAAACTTTAGAAGGTGAATCCCTGATCGAAAGTCTGACGGAACGTTTGGATCACTTAGCTGCAGTGGTGTTCAAAGAATGATCATTCATTAAACGAGTCATCTGTCATAAACGACTTCTCACTTTCTAGAATAGACTTTATAGAAACCTAGCTTTGTATAAATGTATCATGTTAATCATATAACACGTCTCGACTCATCTCCTAGGTTTTCTTGAGTTCTTTAGAACTAATAGAGATATAGATGTAGCTTTTTGGTGTTTGCTATTACAAATAATATTAATAAATACCTTAACAACGACTAATTCTGCTGGGTGTACATACAACAACGCCATGGAACACTATGATCTATGGATGACCTCGTAGGATGTTGTCTTTTATTGCCGCATTTTTCCTTTACTTTGACTGGTTTTTATGTTTGGCATCATTGGATATCTTTTAACGGCACTGCATCGTTCAATGGCATTCCGGCACCGAAAGAAACATCCTGCGGTGTTAGAGAATACATTTCATTGTTTGATACTGGTTTTCTTTGTTTCATACAGACGGGTTTCGTGGAAACGTTGAAGCCGCAATTTGTGCCAGGTCAAGCAATAGCTGGAGCCGGAGTGGCGCCTAGTTTGGTCGAAGAAAAGTTATCGCAACTACAACTAGCCCAGGAAAATGAAAACTTAAAAGCTCAGGTAAACAATTGAGAAGTTAACATAATCATATGCAGCATGAGTTACAACTTGACGTTATTGGTTCATTATAATGCCTGTTACAGATGCGCGATTTGAATGAAAAATTGGATACTCTACGAGTGAAAAGAATGCAAGATAAAGAGAAATTTAAGGAGTTCGAGAAAGCTAAACTTCATTTGGAGCAGCTGTTGGAATTTAAAAATAAAGTCATGGAAAGTCAGGTATGCTCCTTCACTGTGTCTTTTCTAATTATAGATCAAATGAATTATACATTAAAAAGAGACGGTAGCCGTTACAACCGTTATTCTAAATGCAATTACATTTATTGCGACGCATCTGCCCGATCAGCGATCACGGCTTAAGAACGTTGGGCCTTTAGACTTAATGTTATGTTAAATTCCTTCTTAAAATACGAAGAAGTTTAAAAGTTTAGAACTTGATTGTTAACGACGCACATTAATCGTTCTTGTTATTATTGGGTTGGCATTTAAATGATTGCGGATTTTAAATGAGAAGAATCTGTCGAAAAAATCCGTAATCATTTAGTTGCCAACCCAATAGTTCTTTAAATTAACGCGGGCAGAATTTTTGGCTCCCTCCATTGTTATACTTAGTTGGATGAATTGAATTAAGAAATTTTAAGAAAGGTTTTACGAGTATAATCAAGAACATCCAAGATATCGCAAAACCGTCATAAAGTTTTTGGGTCTGCTGGTACGTACGAGTGAACGCTGCTGCCGTCCTTGATGATGAAGATTATGGGAGGATTGTGAAGTTGTTATGCAAAGATTATTTAACCGTTTCGGACGGGACTGTTTCTTGTAAAGACTTTTGGTCTACTCTGCACAGACACATGCACCCGCAAAGGGTTAATAAGAGAGACAGGGAGCTGCCAAATGCTCCATGCTTCGCCTTGCATTTGGAGAAAAAAAAAGAGCAGGTCCAACTTCTGGCCCTTGGAGGAACAAATTGTTGGATTTTTATGCTGAAGGGAGCTGAACCAAACCCTGTGCCTTTTAGTAGGGACGATGTGGGAGGATTTTAGTGCAGAGAGGGATAGTGTGTCTCTTATAATAATTTTCAGTAAAAATATTAGAATTTGGTCCATCCGGAATCTTTCTCCTTTGGCGTGGTAAATACATGTGCAAAATTTCACTCCATCGTATGATTGATTCTTGCCTTCAGACCCTGAAAGTTACGATATTCTGTAAACTTGTTAGGAATTTCGTACTTTTCGAGGAGAAAATGGTTACAATAGGTAACATAATCTTAGAATTCAATGACATAATAACGCAATTTCTTCAGAATGCATAATTTTAATCTGAAAATAGTTTAAAAGTGAATTTTTGGTCAATAATTTCATATGCATAATTTTCCGTGCTTGCTGATTGACCTGGGAAAACATCAGAAGGCGTCTTGGACTAAACTTACAACAGTAGGTCACCAGGTTACGTTTGCCCTGCACTAGTGCTACAGCGTAAGCAGAACTACGGCGCACGAACTGTCTGTCGACACTTGAGTCTCTTCGACAGACCGTTCGTGCGCAGTAGTTCTGCTTACGCTTTAGCAGTAGTGCAGTTTGAACGTAGCCTGACGATCTACTGTTGTAGATTTATTGTTAGTCCGAGACGTCTCCTTATTGTTTCTCCTTTGCTATGGTATATACGTGTGCCAAATTTCAACTCAATCGTGCCTTACGGTGATATGGAAAAAAAAGTCAGCTTATACAGGGTGTAACAGAACTCGTAGTTTTACGGTTACACAGCGCTATCTCTGTTGAAAAAGAAGTCGAAAAGTCCTGTACTATTTTTTCCCACAGTGCATAAATTTCCTGTAATAACTAACAAGCAAACATTTCCAAATGTCCGCTGCCGATCTTATTGATTTTTATATATGTTGAAGAACGGACAAATCTAAGACACGTGTTATTTTTAACTGCAATGGTCCACATTAAAGGGGTGAAACAACCCCCCGAAGTTTGGAGAAAATTCGATTTTTATATTAATTTTCATAGAAGCAGTGGAGGAATTTCGATGAAACTTGGCATAAACGTATTCTGTACAAGGACGGTGAAAACACAATATTCTCCAGTAATGCTACACCACCTCAAGGGGGTGAACTACCCTTCAGGCGAAATTTTATTGTAATATCTATTAAACAAGCACTCCTACTTAAGTTCTACTTACGCCATGAATTACTTACGCTCACGAAAAATATGGAAATACGTGTTTTTTGTTTTTTTCCAATAAACATTTATACATTGGTTGAAAAGAATGGATGTAGGTGACATATGTGAATATTCCGACTATCTTTATTGGGTTATATCGTGACCAATTCATTGTACATGCATCGTGTGAACGTGCTAATTCCTCAAAATGTCGTTGGTTTTCATAACATGCAATTATTTATAAATGAATTAAAAAAACATTTTAAGAGACTGAAATTGTTTCGCAACAGATTCGATGACGATATAACCCAATAAAGATAATCGGGATATATTCGTATACCACCTACATCCATTCTTTACTACCAATGTATAAATGTTATTGGCAAAAAAAAAAAAACACGTATTTCCTCATTTTTCGTGAGCAATCACATGGCGTAAGTAGAACTTAAGTAGGAGTGCTTGTTTAATAGATATTACAATAAAATTTCGCCTGAAGGGTATTCCATACATCCATTCTTTACAACCAACGTATAAATGTCGTCATAAAACGTACGTCAAGGGAAGCGTCATGGCGTTCGCGACGGTGGTAACGCGTCTCGTGAAGGACCGAAGTCAGCATAGCGATGTACTTCGCATATCCGTCGGAGAAACATCGTTGGCGGAGGTCTACCAAGTTGCACTGCTTCAATCGTGACGCAAGGATCTTGCGTAGGTGCCTGACAGCAACCGAGCTGACACTGATCGGCCTAAAGTCGGCGGCTGACCGGTCAACCAGACCCTTCTTCTGGATGAAGACAGTGCGACCTGCCAGCAACGAAGTCGAGAAACCACCGCTGACAAACACCATGCTAAAGACGAGAGCCTTCACAGACATAGGAACTGCGCGTCATGCACGCGAGGTTACCCCGTCGAGACTGGGGGCAGAAGCGAGGGGAGCGGAGATAGGATCACCTCGGAGGTTCATCAGCCAAAGGGTACTAAGCTCCCTCACCACGACAAGGTGGCGGTACCAAGAGGACTAAAACTTACCTACCCTAAGTTGTCTTACTTGAAATATACGGGCCCTTACGGGGCCCTCTCTGTCCATCGATTCATCCGCGGTGGCGTCGGGCCTTTCTGACTTAGGTCAAGGGGTTTTACAACGGGTTTCGGTACAGGTTCAGTACTCTTATAATCGTGGTTCTGTTATCATCATCATCGTCGTCGCCCTAGGCACAGACTACTTTTTCGCACAGACATTATAGGTGGACTGTCATATAGTTTTTGAGCAGCCAACATGCGACACCGCCTTGCGCGGAACGAAAAGGAAGTATACCCATCCCAGCCTTAAAATGATTGGATTTTTATAGAAAAAAGATTTCTTGATGTTTTTGATATCGCTGAAGCCAAGTCAGATAATACAATTTCAAAATTTAAAATGACGGACCTAATATGGCGGACAAAAAATCGCAGACTGATTTGATTTTGATAAGAAAAAAAGGATTGCTCTAAAATTTTGGGATCGCTGAATTCAAATATAAAAACAGAATATGAATTTCAAAATTCAAAATGGCGGATCGAACATGGCGAATAATATATTTTAAAAATGACTGAATTATTATAAAAAGACAGTTTAGCGTGGTGTTTATAACCGCTTAATCTAAATCTGGTAACAGAATTTTAAAACTCAATATGACGGATAAAAAATTTAATGATTAGATTTTTGTTCGAAGAAATTGTTTTTCAAGATCTCTAGGGCCATTGACTTCAAATCTGTAAAAACAATTATTAAAACCAAAGTGGTGGATCCAATATGGCGGATAAAAATGTAAAAATGTTTGGATTTTTATAAAAATGAGTTTCTCAAGGTATTCGTGCCTGCTGAATCCAACTTTGGCAACAAAATTTAAAAACGTAAAATGGCGGATAAAAAATTTTAACACGGTTAAAATTTGGTTCGAAAACATGCTTTCTTAAGATCTTTATGGCCATTGATTCCAAATCTGGAAACAACATTTTAAAATGCAAAATGGTGGATCCAATATGGCGGATAAAAATTTTAAAATGGTTGGATTTTTGTAAAAATGAGTTTTCCACGGTAGTCGTGGTCGCTGAATTCAATTTTGGAAACAGATTATAATAATTGAAAATAGCCGACCTAATATGGCGGATAAAAATGTAAAAATAGTTGGATCTTTATAACAGTGGGTTTCTCGCGGTTTTCGAGGTAGATAAATCCACATTTGATACTAGAATTTCAAAATTCATATTGGCGGTTAAATTATGGTGCCATTAAAAATGTTCAGGGTGGTAATATAAAAAATATATTTATACATACTGCGTATATGAAATATACATATTCTTAGTAACTTTGTATCAAATTATGTGATATTATAGGAATGTATTAGTTACATTTGCCGATTTTATTATTAATAATAGAGACATTAACAATTTTTTTTTTACACAAGGGAGTGAAATCCCCTCAAGACACCTTAATTTTAGCCAGGTACATTTATCTTTAATCAGTTAATTGCAAAAAAAGCTCAAATTTCTCCCTTCTCGCTCAAGTCAACTATTTTTGCCAAATATGGTATAACATTCATTCCATTAAAGTCTTAGGTAAAATCTTTTTGCCAAATGTCACAGTACATTTGGTTTGACGTATGTTGTATGTACAAGATTTTCTGCTTCCTCAAACCGAAGACAAATAAAATATTGTTTTAAAATTTAGTTTCTAATTTTTTTATTTCTTTCGATAAATTTTGTAATATTTGTCTCGGTTTGAGGAAGCAGAAAATCGTGTACATACAACATACGTGAAACCAAGTGTACTGTGACTTTTGGCAAAAAGATTTTAGCTGAGACTTTAACGAAATGAATGTTTTACTATATTTGGCAAAAATAGTTGATTTGAGCTTTTTGTGGGAAGGGAGCAATTTGAGCTTTTTTTGCAATTAATTGCATAAAATAAATGTATTTGGCTAAATTTTTGTACACCGTCGGTGTACGTTGTCCGTGGTAGCGACGTCCCCTTCGGGAGTGGTTGGGGCGCAGGTAGATCGGGAAATTGGCCCGGAGCGGCCCGCGAATTCGGGTGCGGAGCCTGATTTTTGCCCGAAGACGGAGAGAAAGTGAAAAGGGGTCGCGGGCAGGGGGAGGGGGGGGAGCGTGCCTGAGAGGCACGACCGTCGATGCGCGCGCAATTCGCGGCCGCGGATGCGGAGAATTGCGAGTTCGCGATAGCCTCGCGGGGAGATAAGCGGGATCGGGAGGTTGTGCCGGAGATACCGGTCAACGGGGAGGAAGCGAGGATAATCCGTTCTTACGTTACTTCTAAACGGAAATAAAACTTCTTTGCCTTTTTCAATCCATATAGTATTTTTTTTTTTACTTTTTCATTACATTTGCACTGTTCATGATTTTCAATTATCCGTACACTCACCGTCTGATTGAGAGTCCACTGTCATTGATTTCCTTTGAATTAATAATTGAACATGTAATTTGTTACGTATATTGAATTGATTATACCGGGTTGTCGGAAAAGTCATTTTAGTAACAGATGGCATAGAAAAAATGCGTCATGACTTTTTCGACAACCCAGTAAATTAGGAGTGCGTAGGTTAATCGAGTTTCTCTCAATTGCATAATTTGTACATGTAAAATATATAAAATAAAAACATGCAAATCAAAGTACATAGTAGTACATATGAAATGAATAAAAATAATTACATACGTAATTCAATAAAAAAACTGTATTAACCCTTTTAGTGCCGGCCGAAGTCGTTAGCCCTTGTAAAACGACGATATATCGTTCTCCGGCACTAAAAGGGTTAATGTTGCTCAGAGTCCTTGTACACTGCCGGTCAAGTGACTGTCATTAATTTGTTTCAACGCTTGATCATGATTACCGCTTTTCTTTCCATTTTACTTTCAGGCTAGTTTGCAAAGAGAATTACAAAGAGCTCGCCAAGAAGCTCGAGAGGCACAAGTTGCGAGAGAACAGTATCAAGATGAAATGGCAGATCTCGCGGAAACTGTAGAGATGGCTACTCTCGACAAAGAGATGGCCGAAGAAAAGGCTGAAACGTTACAGATCGAACTGGACCAAATCAAGGAGAAATTAGAAGAGCAAACGTTGGATCTTGAAATATTGCGCACCGAAATGTCGGAGCGGGTAAATGCTCCTTCAAATGAGATACATGAACGTAGGAAAATAAAATAAAAATGTAAGATCGAGAATAATTATTATTAACTGTGTTTATACAGGCCGCAGGAGGACCTATCCAGACAGGTGCGTCGAGCTATGAAATAAAACAATTGGAACAGCAAAATAGCAGGTTACGGGAGACATTGGTGAGAATGAGAGATCTTTCTGCTCATGAAAAGCACGAGTTTCAAAAACTTCAAAAGGATTTGGACCAAAAGAAATCGGAAATCCTAGAATTGGGACGCACGAAGGAAAAACTTTCCGCGCGCGTTGAGGAAATGGAACATCAGATTGCTGATTTACAAGAACAAGTAACTATCGCACGGCGTTACATCAATTGTCCTTCTTTAGGTTGCATAGACGAAAAATAGGACGACACTGGAAAAAAAACTTAATTACATCTAATTAATTGAATGCAACGTACTTTATTCTATTTTTCTTTGACGCTTTCGCCGTGAGCTTCAGTTTTTTTTTTTTACATTTCTTTTACCGAATTTATAAACAAGTAGGTGTGATTATAGAACTAATTCCCTTAAAATATCCACGTTGGACGTGTTTCTTAGTAAGACGTTAGCATTTTTGTATCAATGAATTAAATATTCTAAACCAACAAAATATTGTCAATACCGAAATAGATTTAAATGCAAATGCATTCCTGAGACCGTTCTTTTTTCCAGAATTACGTTCGAAATTTCTGATCTGTTATAACCCAATCCATCCTTGATACATATTAGTATTATACATTTTTAATGATCATCTTTTCCTTTTGTGTCGATTTATGCTAGTTTGACCTTATGAGTTTTACTTTCGTTTTCAAGAAAAACCTCCATTTACTTCTCCCCTAAGATTATTATTCCACGGTACTATAATCTAAACCTTGTGAACAGGTTGATGCGGCGCTAGGTGCAGAGGAAATGGTTGAAGTGCTGGGAGAACGAAAAATGGCTTTGGAAGAAAAAGTTGTGGAATTAGAAGAGGCTGTAGCAGATCTGGAGGCATTGCAGGTACTTTTAGTCAAGGATGTAGCAATAAATAAAAAAAATGGAAGAAAGAGTGAACAGCTTGATTTGACGTATGTAATATTTTAGGAAATGTCGGATGAATTGGCAGAGTCGTCGAAAGAATTGGAATCGGAGTTACGAGAAGAATTGGATTTGGCTGTCGGAGCCACCAGAGATGCTTTGAGGCATCGGGATGCAGCTTTGGAGACCCTAGCCGATCGCGAACTTACCATTACAAAATTCCGTGAACTCACTCATCAGCTGCAGGAACAGTGTTTGCAATTACAACAGCAGCTACGATCGACCGAAACGGCCAAGACTGGAACAAAGGGTAACGGAATTTGGTTTAGAAAACAAGAGCGTTCCCATGTATTTCAGAAAATGAATTTATCAGCAATGACGTACGACGTACATTTTTGCATATTCTTAGAATATGATTTTCGGTTGTATTCCTTAACCGTCATGAAATGATCAATAACAAGGGGTGTATATTACCTGAAAGGATCAATTGAATGTTGGTTTTCCATTAGGAGCCGAACAACAATTGGCGGAAATCCTAGATTTCCAGAAGACGTTTGCGGAAACCCGAGCTCAGACTAAAGCTGTTGACCTTGAATTGCGAAGGCTTGAAACCGAAGAGGCTCGTACTCACGTAAGATACATGTTGTCTTTCGTGTCGCCCGCTTTTCTAGCGCGCGGTGGAGATCACGATGCTATTTTAACGTTACTTCTCATACCGAGAATCCGGCAAAAAACCGAAATCCTGATTTCCCAAGTACGGGATAAGTACAGACCGATTGAAAAAATTGACAGGTAATCTATGACTTTCCATCCGTATATATAAAATGTGTAGGACAAATAACAGAAATCCGTCTAGTTCATATTCTAGTATCTAGTTACCGAGATCCTTTTCTAAACGTCAATGAAAGTAGGAAAAGCTTTCTGGAACGATGCTCAGATCTTGAATTACCTCTTAAAGAGAGAAATTAAGTAAAGAGTCTAATTGTTTTAGAAACTTGAAATGTATCGCCCTTGATTTATCACAACTTAAGGTGATACGAAAGGGTCATTCTATATATCCAAAACGTGAAAAAATTGTCTCCAAACTGGGTGCATCGAACTATCGGAAACTTTAACACGAGATTATGGAGCCCCTAAGGAAGAACGCGATGTTCGTGAAATTTCATTTTTCGAAGAAAAATGTCTTTCTTTGGCCCTTGTCCGAGATTGATAGGAATTTTTTGCCGAAAAATGAAATTTCACGAGCATCGCGTTCTTTTTTAGGGCCTTCTTAATCTCGTGATAAAGTTTCAAATGATTCGGTACGCCCAATTTAGAGAAAAGTTTCAATATTTTGACCTTTTGATACGTATATATCACACTTTCATGTCACCTTAATGATTAGAAAGTCTATATTTTTATGAAAATGTTTAGCCTTAAGCTAGTTTAGTCCATGTGATGTATAAATTATATTACTTAACCTTGTACAGTGACAGGAATGTCTAGAAATTTGAGAACTGTAATTATGATAATTTTACTTTTTTAGGGCTACTGTAATCAAAGGACATTCCGTAGCGCAGTATGTCTTCAGAAGCCGGCTGTGTTCATATATGTACTCACTCCAAACAGCTCTAGGATGCTTTGAGTCAGCTCTAAATGTTTGCTCTCCGGATACTCTACTTAAAGTAGGGGCTGCCTACCCTGAAATGGCTGCACAAGAAAAGTCATTAGATTCCTTAATTGAATTGGTAAAGAGGGATCAACTTGATGAGAACTTGCCAATGGATGCTCTTGAAAAGTGTTGCGCATATTTCTCCACGATGTTTTCCGTATTATTCGGAGATGGCAATTACATTAACCAGGCTCGACTAGTTGTCGATGGAACGAGAACCCTTGGTAACGCGTGCGACGCCATTGCTACGGATGCAACTGCTATTAAAACTCTCATTAATGGAGAGGGAGGTGATATAGGTACATTCCTTTAAAATATTTTTTTTTCATGCCATTTAACTACTGTCTCGCAAACAAGCTTTTATTAAAAGTAACTATTTTTCAAATTCATTATAAAGTATCATTAAAGTAGTAGTAATTTACATTAATGTATATATTGCACAGGACTGTTATGCCAGCACCTCGAGACATCTTGTGAGGTGATACAGCAGCATTTGAAATCGGCGCGAAGAAGAGTACCTCGAGATCAACTTTCATCTTCTTCGCTATCCATGTCTAATCTAGGACTGGATAATGATTGCGTTGAGCAGCTGTCTCTTAGCTGCCAACACGCCATCAAGATAATGAAGACACTTCAAGATGTACTGAAAAGTGCATTACAAGCTATCGTAGCTAATGGAGGTAAATATTTTTTATTTATCTAATGTTTTTATACTCTTTATTTAAGTCCTGTTGATTAAATGAAATTAATACATCCATTTTTGGGGAAGATTTAGATACAGGTTTGTCTGCGGACAAGTTGAAGGAGATGGCTGCGATTTCCAGTGAGAAGGTCTACGACACGGAAGACCTAGGACCCGTAGCTACCATTAAAGCAAGTCTAATGACAATTCAACAACTTGCTGCTAATTTTGCACAGAAAATGGTAGAATGCGAGAACGAATTAGCTATATCTGGACACGCGATACCACAGTCAAGTACCGAAGGCGAAGAGTCAGTCCCACCCATTGTTATTCGCGCACAACTTGCACGTAAAGAGTCCGAAGAGACTAAAATACTCAGCAGGTGAACACGTTTTCATTTGACTTTTCTTGTTCAGTGTTAATGTAGTCGATACTTGTGATAACATTTTAATCTTTGTTTTTTCTTAGAAAATTGGAAGCAAGAGAAAGTGACATTCGTGAGGCGAGATTGGCATTGCGAGAGAAGCAAGAAGAGTTGTCTGAAATGACTCTAAGAAAAGAACTAGCCGAAAAGCGTGTGACAACACAGCAACACGAACTGGAATTGAATATTGAGAAATTGAAGAGAAAGTTGGAAGAAGCTCAGAATCAACTGAAGCGAAAGGTAGTTTTTATTTTTATACAAAAAATTGCTTGTAACTTAATTTACATTGTTATTTCGATCTTAAAATGTTGTGTACATACTTCAGAGATGTTGCACCTTCGATTTATGGGGGCGGGGGGAGTGAAAAGAAAATCGACTTTTCTTTTAATGTTACACGAGAATCCCCCCTTAAAGCGTACTGTTACTTTTAGCACTTCTTTTTACAGAGTAAATGCAGGGTAGTTTGAACCAATTCCAAATTTATTTTTATTTCTAAACACTGGTTTCATGAAAACCTTTGAGGACATTAAAGATATAGTGTTGAATTAATTAACGAATCGATTCGATTTTAGGAAAAAGAATTTGAAGAAACAATGGATCATCTTCAGACAGATATTGAAAGTCTGGAAACGGAAAAGGGTCAACTAAAAGAGAAACTAAAATCCTTTAGCAAGAAAACAGTAACAACCAGTGGGACAGATGGTATTTCAGCGGGCAGTCCTGGAACTAGCACTCCTAGTCCATCATCAACAGATGATAGAGTATTGGCTCAGGAGTTATCGGCATTGCGAGAAGCCTTGAATGAAGAACGTCGACAGAAAAATAAATTGCAAGCAGATTCTCTCCTACGAAAATTGGATTCCTTAGAGCCGCTGACTGTCATTTCAAGTTTGAAAAGTATGGATTCAAAGCTAAATGAACTTCATAAGAAGAAGCAAGATCTCTTAAAGGTAGATCATCTTTGCACCTTTAGTAACAAAAACACCTAACCTATTGATTATTAATTGATTAGTAAATGTACATGAGATGCATTCCTGGATTTCAGTCATTTAAGTCAAAATAAATAACGAATATAATAATATAATGTAATAATAATGTTTACGGCAAACGTATTTGTGTTAACGTAATATTCGATATATTTTTTAAACTTAGAAGCAATACGCTAACATAAATATGTGAATATAAAATTTGAATGAACATTTGATACTGCTTGGTTTTGCAAGATTAAAATTGCTCCATTGTACATGCAATATTTAATTGTGTACACTTTATTAACTAGGAAATGCAGAAGGTCGTATTGTTACCGGCAGTCCCTGCCATAAAAAGAAAGGGAAATGCACCAAAGGACCTACCTGTTTTAGAAAAGGCATTGCCAGCTTATCAATTGTTGCAGCGGCAAGCAGTCATGAATCAATTGAAAGAACGAGCAGATCAATTGGTGGTAATTGTTTCATTATTTTTTAACATTACTACGCAATATATTGTGTCACACATTCATCTATGCATTTCATGTACAATTTTTTGTCACAGCACGAAGTACACGAAGAAATGATTAAGCGCACCTTAGGAGGTATGGCAGAAGCGGACTTTGCTGTATTTCCAAGTCGAGAAATGGCAGCTGCCATAAAAGAGAAAGAACAACTATTGGCTGCACAAATAAGTATCCCTTATAACGGCCCGTCACAATCTCACGCTGTAAATGTGGGCACGCAAGAACTTAGAAAAATTCATGCTCTTCTGTGTTATTAAAAGCGAATTTGTTTAGGTGGCTAGGGATTTTAATTGTCATGTCGAAAATTTACTAAATTATGATCAGTAAACCCATTTAAAGGTTAAGGTGAAGTGAAATCCCCCGTTAGTCGATTCAAATAGACACATTTTTTAAAGGTATTGCACTAAACTCGTGAGCACCTAAGAATTATCCTAACGCTTTCAAAAGTTGGATTGAAACAAAAAGTTTTGTACTTAGCCTAGATCAGAAACGAAATGGCACCGAGTTTTCATATCTCGATCAATATATAATTATTAAAGGCTTTAATGCGGAAAACAAAAATGTTAGGACAAATGTACAACAATTTAGAACACTTTAGTAATCGAGAAACTCGCAATAGAACAGGATAAAGGCAAAAAAGTGTCTTATGAGCTGTGCTAAGATGAAGATAACATGTAGTCTCGGAGATAAAATTTAATTAGCACTGAATTTACAGATGGCGCAGGGTGGTACTTCTATAAATGCATTAAGTCTGCACCGATTATGGGTTTTTTACGGCATTCACAACGGTGAACGTCAAGGAGAATCGTCTCCGTAGCGTAGGTCGAGATGCAGTATTTTGGTTCCATAGGTGCGAATAACGGAACCGTTTACTGCGTATAGCAGTGTCTCGTTCGGCTCTGTGAGTGTTGTCTACGTGAGTGCCTGTGGAAGGACAGATACCTCGACGCCAAAATTTATCAGAAATCGCAACTCTGTATGTCTCCATCGTTGACGATGAGACAGTAACTTTTGTTTCCGTCGTCACGCGCTGCCTCTTCCTGTAACGACGGTGTTAGTTTTCCTGTCTCGGTGGTGGTCGTCCGTCTCAGGAGCACGGCGGAATGCACCTACTGGCCTTATACCCGAATCACGATGGTAGAAACGACGACCCCGACTGTTGTTATTCCGCTTTCTCGACATCGAGTGTTCACGCAGCCTGGTGTCTGAATTTGAACCGCTATGGTCCCCTTCTGTCCGCCTAATTACCTCGTCGATAGCTATACATGGGACCTTCATCTGCTTTCCCAGGGTGATTTTTTGTACGGGACGGGAGTCGGGCCCACCGAGTCTACGACGCGAAGTAGACTACTTGCTTCGACGATCTTGTCCACCAATTCCATCCTGTGTTTACGGAGAGGACGGTTTGGACATTGTTGGGCATGCGTTTCATTTACAATGACCGCAGTACCTTCGGGCTGGCTTTTCTGGCCGCGAGAGTCTGCATTTCTCTCAGAAGCTGGGATGGGCACTTGTTGCCCAGCTCCAAGCCGGAGAGGAAGATGCTTAGCTTTTTTTCCCCCAAGTTGACGAAGCAGGCGATGAGGCGTGTTTTTAAACATTGATATTTTTCACTCGGGGGAGACTACACGGACATTATTGTCTGCGTAGTTGCTTAGCACGGTGGAGTTGGGGACTGTAACGGCGGCCAAGAATTTGGAATTGTCGGACCGAATCTGGTGCGAAGAGAATTGCGCCTGAACATGGGCGAATCGTATTGCCGGGTTTTGCTCCCAGAAAGACGGTGGTCTCGATTTAATTTACGTCGGGTTGACCGCCTGGTGACTCGGGTACATCCGCTCCTCCAGGCTGTGCATTAGTAGGATGTGACGTCGGCAATAGGAATTATGCCCATCTATCACTTGAACCACTTTACAGTTTAGTTTGTCTGTTCATTCGAATACGCAGGTTACACAATGCGATTTTACCGACACAGAGGTTCAATAACAACATTCAAGCATTTTAACGGCGCTGCTTGATATGGAGCTTGTCAATTGTCTCCCGACGTTCCACCATTATGACGACCGGCAAGCTCCATATGAAGCTCCATATGAAGCAGTGTCGTTAGAATGCTTAAGTATTCTAAACATTAAGCACCATGTCAGTCACCGGGGACTGACAGTATACTTTCGTCGGATAAATTCGGACGTAGTCGGATATCGTGGGCTATAACGGAAGGGAAGACAAAATAGGCTTGACGCTTAACGCGTTAAGCCTCTGTGTCAATAAAACCGCATCGCGTAATCTTTGTATCCGAACGAACAGCCTAATAAAATTATTGAGCGGTCTATAGTGATAAATGTAAGTACTTCCCATTGCCGACGTCACACCCCTACATACTCTGCAGTCCGAATATCAGAAATCATGGATCTAGGGAATTTTCAAAGTTTTACTCCGATTTCTTTATAATCATTGTACGAAAACGACATATGTAGTATGCCATTCGGTATAATGTTCACTACAATACAACACTGCTGTCAGTGTAACAGCGAATATGGGTGATGTAGGTATTTAGAAGAATCTTTTTTACCGACAACATTTAAATTTCTCTACGAGTTTCACTTCATCTTAATCTCTTTTATTTTAGATATCGCCTCAAATAGACCTTGCAGTGGAGTTATAACAAAAATGTATTATTCTCTTGTATATATTATTAATGCTTTTTTACTAATTAAGTTCATATCGAATAAATAAGTTGTCATAACCTTATATAGTATTAAGATCTGGATTTTAAGTAGCGCGGGTAGAATTTTAGATAGCGATTTTGCATGAGCGTTGTACAATGTTAACGTTAACTGTACGCTTTCTTATAATTATTTACTTATTGTCTCTGGTTTGATGACTGGTGCATCAAGGGCGTGAGACAATTTGTGCTCTGAAGTCCGTACATTCAGTCTTTGGTAATGCATCGTGCCTCGATGATATGTGCGAACTGAACGTGTTTCTAAAATTATAAAGTATTTCATATCCTTGTATAAGCGTTATATTTCTCCCTCTTGGTATTAACAGGGAACAATACTATTCGACAAACTACGAGATGACCGCGCTGCCACGTAACAGCGAACCATACGCTAATAATGTCCAGTGTTATGCTAGCTTCGCATGCCCGCGCAGCACATAACGCCAGTAACCAATGAAGGACATGCAGTGGTCATACCCATTTTTGTATGGTGATGCGAAAGAGTCAGCCTGTATACAGGGTGTAACCGAACTAGTAGTCACGGCTTATACAGCGTTATCCTTGTTGTAAAAGGCATAGCGGAAAGGACGCCGGTAAGGCGCTATGCCGCAGACAGCCGAACGCAGCCCTACCGGCCTCCTCTGCGTTATGCGTTTCGTCGGAAACACGATTTATTGGCTGTGCTTCAATTAGTTATCATAGGAAATGTATGCATTGTAGGAAAAAATAGTACAGGACTTTTGGGCTCCCTTTTCAACAAGGGTAGCGCTGTATAAACCGTGACTACCAGTTCCGTTACACCCTGTATATCTCAGAGATCAAATCGTTGGTAAAAGTATTCTCCGAATTGGGTGTACCGATTCGTTTTAAACATTACCACGTGAATATGAAAACCCTAAGGTAGATCCTGAAACTCATGAAATTTAATTTTTTATGCAAAATTTATATATCATGGATTAGAACCAACATGGCGTGGTCCGTGCACGTTTATGATATTTTACGCTTTTTGAACGTTTAGAATTGAAAATTTCAGGTCCTAGCTGGAACTATTTAGAATACCATAGAAATGGAATACTATAGAGTCAAATGGGAAAATATGAACACTTTCACCAACTATTGGAAGAGAATGTTGGCTGCGTGTTTTTAGAGCAAAAATTTAGTTGCAGCTAAATATCACAGATGGCGCCATTGGTTCATTAGAGTATATAAAATCATGAATTCACGGGATTTCGACAGTTTTACATCGATCTTTTTATCATTACTTAACTGAAATGACATATGGAACACTTCATTTCGTATAATTCTCAACGCAGACTATACAAGAAATTTCAAAATAAATATAAATATTGGTAACGTGAACGTCTTCTAATATAAACTTCGATGCGTACATAATTAATTAAAACATAAAATATACGGGTCCTAATTTTTATTCCATCTATGAAAAATATTCTGAATATAAGGTATAATTAAATTTCAGCTGAATCGCGGAGTCTGAGTTACGAGTAGTATCATAGAATAATGTTTCAGTACTACTAATCTGAAATTGTTGTTTTTTTGTCCATCTCATAATTTGCGATCGGATCGGTTCTTGGATTTATAATTTTGAACTTAACGGGTTTCGATGATGAGAAAGCCGCCGGCCCTATTGCGAAATTCAGGCTTGTAGCGGGATTCTGTACACCATATTGGAGAGCTATCGACTGCTATCGGTGCACTGATCTATGTACTAACTGGATAGCTGATACCTATTTGTTCCGTATGGAGAAGATTTCAACGAATTCAAGACACACCAGCACCAACTACATATGGGCAGCGATATTAAATGAGTAACGTGTGCGCATGTGCAAAAGTTTTGAACCGTCAATCTGTCAAACGCGGCAATGACAAATGAACTGTCAGTTCACGAAAGTATACGTTTAACCGTTTCACTGCTACGCGGCGCAAAAGCGCTGCGTTCATTTGTCTCGAAAACCGCGACGCAGCGCTTTTGCGCTGCGAGTTTCAGTGCGTCTTTGTTGCTCCGCAGTTTTCGTGCGTTCTTGCAAAAATTGCTTAGCAGTCAAACGGTTAAGGTATAACAAACAGAAGAGACATAATTCACGTGTAAAATGGTGCGTATGGCATATCGTAAGAAAGTTTCGACTAAAACAAAATGGTTACTTTTTTCTCGCAAATATTTTAATAAAAATGGCACCTGCGACCTCCCCCCGTGAGCTATCGCCCCGAAAGCGAATCCGAGGTCCCTCTACTGCGCTTCCGCGAGACTACGTGACACTGCGGGGTCCGGAAGGAAGCCGGCGAGGTGTCGTCGCGATTCATCCCTTTAGCTTGCGCCGAGCCCGCACTCGAGTTTCGGCCAACCGTTGAACGTTCATTAGAGTCGAAAACCATGTAGAAAAGTCCTATTTCGCTCTCGCGAGCAGTGACGGGTCGGATTCGCGGTTAACGAAGTGCTGCGCGTGTGTGCGCCGCAGGCCGACCGGGAGGATGGCGAAGTCCACCCCGAGGCCGCTCACTGTTAGGTCGGGGATCGTTTACTCGGGAGCGGTGATAGCGATTACCCGAGGATGTCGATCGGACCAGGCCTCGTGGGTTTGTTTTGGGGACTCGCTTCCAGATGGTTGAAATCGGCCAAAGACCTCGTCGAGCAAAGTAACGAAGATACTTTATTTTCGAAGCCTCTTGGTTTACAGGAACGACTCGTAGACTCGGTCAACTCAAGGGGACTAGCGTTCGCCGAGAATTACAGGTGCCTCGCACGCAGGTTACAGAATGGAGACAGTTCAAACTTCGGTAGATCAGAGAGAGAGCTCTTCAGAGCGGGCCTTTTTATACTGACGTAGGATGTCCCTAGGCGCGGAGGAGGATGCGTATTGGTGGGTTTTTATGATTGAGGAGGGAAATGTCTCATGTGATTGGCTTGGGGACAGGTCGAAGGGGAAACAGGTGGAAAGTGTCTTTTTCCAAAGGATCTGAATGTTTCACGTTTCCCAGGGCTGTCATCTAGTTTGGGGTGCGGAAGTACTCGGATAAACAAAGGGGAGATAAGAACGAGGGAGAGCATGTCTCCAGGAGCGTTTTGGAGCGCGAGACGCGTTGCTTAGTCTCTTTCTTAATATTACTTAAAATAAAATGTTAGGTAGGGACCTAATATTACCCGTAGAGACGACCGGATCCAGGCGCCTGAGGGAGGCTGCGCGACCGAACGGAATACTCTGGGATCTGCAAGTCGCGTATTGCAAAGTCCGTTCAGGCCGTTAAGGGCTTCCGCAGTAAAATATTCGCGCCATCTCGTGGAGGATTTGAGGGCTCCCGAACAAGGGAGATACGCGAGCAAGTCTGAATCTCACCGTTGTAATTTGGACACTTTATTTTCGTTAATTAAACTTTACATATAGTTGATCCGACGAAGGGTTCTGTTCTTGTACCTTTCTTTGCCCTTTCCAGCGACCGCAGTGGCCGGAAGCCACCCCCTCTCCGACTAGCAGGGAGCTAGCCGGTCGGACAGGGTAACCGGGAAAAGATCGCATCGGGTGGTGAAACCCGACTGGCGCTCTTGGAGGATCGGGGAAGCAATTTTGCTTCCCGATCCGAATTTCGGAAAAAGGGGTCAAATTTGCCGATCGACTACCGGTCCTGCGGAGAAGTTGCAGACGTAGGATCGAGGTCGCAAGGTATACCTGCTATATGACCTTATGATATGAGTATATGAGCCTTGCACGAAAGCTGGGTTTGAGGTCCCTGAGCTGCCTGCTGAGAGTCAGTGTTTGAGCACCTGAAAACCTAAGAAACACAAACAAATAGAAAACCCGACATACTCGTAGACAAACCCCGACCAGAAATAACAACAAACAATATCATGCACCATCACTCATAGACAAGACATCACACCAACAAAAACACATCACGTAGAACACTCCTCCTGACACCAAACATTCCACCCAACCTACACCTATACACCGCACGATCACATAACAAGCCACGCAGAACGCTTTCTACCAACACCTACCAGCAATACACAACGTACAACAGACACAACGGAGAACACTACTCCCCACACCGAAAACACAACCTACACAAACCTAATACGAACCACACACACAGATACAGACACATAACATATGTAAAATGACAGAAAATTGGAACGAAGACGAAAACAGAACCCATAGATATCATACGCCACCAATACCAACATCCTATACACACACGTCGAACCTGGGACGAGGACTACCAAGCACAAGAACCCATAAATCCACCACCAACATATACATCCACACTAGAAACACAATACACACTCATAGGAAAAGGGGACAAGGAAACGACAAGAAATACCACATACACGACAACAGAAAAATTAGACGACGAAGATACAGCCTTCCACTTCCAAGAAAGGACAACTCCACGACCCACAACACAGACACGCACAAAGCCACCATCCGCTAGACACACCGATACCACCTTCGACACCGCCACTGCGATCGGCTATCTTCCCGTGGCCCCGTCCGTCACGCGGTCTCGCCCGCTCTTCCGAAGTCGGTATAAGGTAGGATTAAGGTAGATTAAGATTTAGGCTCTAATAAGTAATAAAGCATTCTGTGATTTTACCCGGTGTCTCGTCTCTCATCTCCACCCCTCTCCACCGTCCCTTCCCAATTTTTCCGTTATAAAGTTTATAACCAGGTGCCGGGATATACACAGGGTGAGCTGAGGTGAGGTGAGGGACTCTACGACGAGATGAAATATTTTCAAAAGGAATATTTTCTTCCATTCTCTTTCGAGAATTATCATGAACCGTCATTGTTGCTTGTATATATTTTCTGACAGATATTTCTAAATAGAAAAGAAATTCATTTAAAAATTATTAAAAATAAATAAAATTATTAGTAAATAGTGTTTAATTAAAAGAATGTTAAATACTAGAACCAAATTAATTATTTCTTAAAAATACTTACGTTTACATGTACACTAAGAGATGTTTATACTTAAGCAGATACCGTACGCCTTAAATCTGCCTTGTCCGCCGTATTGGATACGCAATTTACTGGTTTTCTACACGGACGTAAGAATATGTGGATGAAGCTCAAAGTCCCATCTTAGACCGGGTGGAGCCTGTGCGTCGGAAAGGGAGGGTGTATCGTTGTGCCAATTTTTCCGCCTCCTGATTGGTAGGTCACCTGCTTCTGTATAGCGCGATCGTATCCTGCGCTGCCCTCGGTGGAGAATGCAGGCGGCTCACGCACTTGCCCCCAATGGCGGCCTAACTCAGGGATCCCATTCATCTCTTATCCCAACTTATCTCTGAGTTGGTCCGTCATTGGGGCAAGTGTGCGAGCCGCCTGTATTCTCCTCCCAGGGCAGCATAGAACACAATCGCGCGACTCTAACCTGAAGGAAATATTTCGAAGAGACAAAGGCAGTTGATGATCGGAGGTCCATGGGCGGGCCTATTCCCAGAATCATGGGCGAGGAAAGGCGAGCATGTTTTGAAGATATGAGCATGGCCTAAACAATTGATACGGCTAGACCAAGACGGTCGCTGCAAACGGTGGACGGGAGGACACTTGGTCGAGGATTGCAGAACGGAACGCTTGAATCCATTTTATATGCGTCTCCTTCTTGAACAATAAGTCAATTGATATACCTGTAAATCTACAAAATATAGACTTGTCAATAGGAGATTCGTCTTCGGTAATTTCACCTCCTACAATTCTTTCAACTTAACCCTGTTTAATATCAAATTTCTAATTAGATTTGTTATTTTCTATTTAAAAAATGAAGGGCATAATGTACTTTGTGTTCGTGTAGAAAACTAAGGACGTATTGTACGTTGTAATATACATGTAGAAACCCACGTATATTACATGATGTATTATACCTACTTAACCCTGCCCGTATTATTCCAATGGGTTAACGAAAACGATATCCGCATGGACGTATAATATATGGAACGCTCACTCCCTGTACTTGAGTACGGCTCTAAATGGGTCTGACAGAACGGTGAGACACGGTAAGAGGACGAGAACAACGGCGATCGGGTCTACGCTTGCCTGTACAACAGGAGTGCGCAGTGAAGTAATTTGCGTATGTGAATATGTACGTATGTATGTATGTATGTATGTATGTATGTATTATGACGTGGCAGGATTTTGCCGTCACAATTGGGGGTGCAGTGGTAGCGGTAAGTACCGAATATTGTATTAAATTAATTGCAGCATCAGTTGGCGACACCGGGGGTTATCGTGGACAATCGCTAGCTGTAAGTATGTGTTGTAAATAAAGGCGTCCTAGGATAAGACCTAATAGGGTTAAGTGTTTATCGGGAGAGTATGTCGCGGCCTTGCTACCGTCGGTACGCGTAGAGGAGGAAGAATCGGGATCTAAATTATCGCGCCGCGATACAGGTCGGAACATCTAACGTGCGCGCTGTCCAGGATACTCCCGGTGTCGCCGGAGTTGTCGAGTTCGCTGCCGCTGCCCCATTTTTTATTTTGACCGGTCGCGGAAGGGCAGAGAGTCACTTGGTGAGCAAACCCCTAGTGGGCTTTCAAAATAGAAGTTTCCTTTCCGCTCGAAAGAAAATCAGAAATATCCTGTATTCGGGTAATTTGCCTCCTCGACACGTGCCCCGCGGGAGTTCACGTAAGATGTCCGGCCGTTAGCGTGACCGGGACCGGCCCCATCTTGATAGAGAATGCGCTCCCGATTTTTCTCGTCCCGCGTGTAATTACCGATTCTTGTTAGTGTTGCGTTAGGGCCCTCCGGTTGATCGTTGCCAACCCACTCGGCTTGTCATGTCCGTTCGTTTGGGGAGGCCTGGGTGAGGGAGGGTTGGGCGTTGTGCCCCATGTTCTCCCGGAAAGTTGGGAGTTGATTTATGGAGGAGCCGGTGGCTCCATTTTAGTTGCGGACTTAGAGGATTTATCCCTGCACGCGCCGGTAGGGCCCAGAAGTATTTCTGTGAGGGCAGTATGGAGACCCAATAAACGAGGGGCGAGATTCTCGATGGAATAGGTCTACGTGATATTTTTTTTCTTTCTGTCTTCCTTTCCGATTTCCAAGTCCATTAAGCCGCTCCGCTGTGGTGGGCGACCCCCCCATCTCTACCGTGCCGCAAAAGGTCGCGTGACCCTTACGGGGCTGACTAGCTGAGGGCCGGGTTTTTTCTCGCGGCTGTCCGATAGCGGGCCGAACATCCTAGCCGGATTTGGTCCACGGTTTCGCGGTACGTCGTGACATACCTGGCGCCCTTAAGAAATTCAAGCGAGCCGTATCGTTCACGTTCGGGATTTTTTCTGACCGCTCGAATCGGATACACCGCGGGAGAAACTGAGCGTGGCACCAATTTGTAGGGTGTGGGTGCGAGATCCCAAATTCCCGTCGCAAATTTATGGCGCCCAACGTGGGGCTTCTGTAAAATTATTTATTGGTGTAAAATTTTTTCTTGTTTGTTTTATTCTGTTATTTGTGATAAAAGCCAAGTCTCACTTGTAACGAGAGTGAAAGTAGAGTTCAGCGGGAGTGACAAAAAAGAAAAAGAAGAAAAAAATTTTTTTTAAGTGAAGGATAGGTGAATTTTAACATATTTCGCTATCTCTCATAGTGATTTTATTGCCGTATTGAAGCTAAGTTTTGGTCTTTTCTACTAAAGGTTCAGTGTCTTGTTTAGTTTTTTTTGTTAAAACAAGGTCGGCCTATTTCCGGCAAAATTAATATGTATCGTCTACCTGCAAATTCGAAATATGAAACATGGGTTGCATCACTCCCAGTAAATTAACGAAATATTAATTAANTTAACATATTCCGCTATCTCTCATAGTGATTTTATTGCAGTGTTGAAGCTAAGTTTTAGTCTTTTCTACTAAAGGTCAAGTGTCTTGTTCAGTTTTTTTTTGTTCAAGCAAGGTCGATCTATTTCCAGCGAATTTAATTCGTATCGTCTACTTGCAAATTCGAAATATGAAAAATGGGTTGCATCACTCCCCGTAAATTAACGAAATATTAATTAAAGATTTGTTGGAATATTTTCTGAGGTTTGTCTTAAATTCTTGTTTCATCATAGTGCTTCGCTGAATGTTCTCCTTTGATTCTCGAATAAGTGGATTTTAATTGTAGGACGTAAGATTTTATATTTTGACTTAATAGAATTAAGCATTCTGGGTTGGAATTCGAAAATTTCGAGAATATCGTCGCTGTCGAGCGCCACATTATTATCACCTTGTCGTCTGTTTGGTTTTTGCCTTGGCAGCGGACACCGTGCGACCGCTGTCGGCGTTTCTTGTGTCTTGCCTGTTATGCCTATTTCCAGGTGTTCACTAGCTTGCGGTCGTTGGGAGTCCTCGCGTACGGTGAACTTGAAGATTTAAAGATACCGGTGATTATTGACTGTCACCGGGTGCCCTAGGTTATCAACTGGATTACTGGATTTATCGGGTGCAAATCCAGTAAGTCTGAATTTAAGTGTCGATCGAGACCACTGAAATATATAGTAAACTGGAACGCTCATCAGCGGGTTCGGCTCGAGCTGTCCTTGAATTCATCCCCACTACTAGGTATACAGTCCTATTACACATGTTTTTCTTCATAGAGAACTATTCTTAGATAATGAATTGCGGAGTACAATAATTAAAGGTATAAATGCGAAACATCCTGCATGATTTTACAGTACAGAAATATGACATTCTGTCATACTTCTGTCAAACTATTGTCCTACCGATAAGGTTTGCCCTATAACTTCCTTGCATTCCACTGAACTTTCCTTTTGGACTGTATAGATGATGCGCACGCATCGCCGAAACAAGGGCAGGTATATTTTCTCTGAGAGTAAAACAAAGATGGAGAGCCCCTCATCGCATTTCTTCGTCGCACCAATGCTTACTGAACTCTGTGTAACAAGGATGCAGAGACAGCCAAATCTATCTCCCTTTAGGACAAAGCTCGTCGTATATGCTAAAGCGTGGTGAGCGTTCCAGTTTACTAAATATTTCAGTGATCGAGACGCTCAGAATCGAATCTGCATATTTATTATTGCGATAGGGACATGCGATTTACTAGATCGGGACCCGATATTTCCCGGATTTAGGAGTGCGATGGAAAGGTAGTCATTTTTTGGATACAGTGGCGCTACTGTGCGCCATGGATTGAAATTATTTTCAATACTACGTATATTAATAAAGCAAGGGGCTTCTAGGAGTCATAAGAATTCATCATTGTAATGTTTCTTAACTATTTTTGCATGTGCGGGGTGAGTGCAGAGTTGCCACTGCTGCTTCGATCGGAGTAGATCTACTACTATTAATGTGATTTACTGCTCTACTCCAACTTCTATGTTCTCTACTCCGTTTCATTCCTGAAATATAATATTTATATAACTGTCTGTGAGACAATGGATTTAATTATTTTACAATTAAGAAATCTGTCTAGTTCTCACTGTATAGAAATACTCTTCTAGTTACGTTTGCATTCATCGTTTAAACCCATTTGATAACAGCAAATTTAAGAATGAATAAGAACATTTCAAATATGCCGCCATATCCGCCATATTCGATTTTAGTTTGGCCATTTTCACAATGGTGGTGACGGTAACGCTATTTTCTACTACGCTGACAGTGAATTTACTCTGATTTACTCCCATTGCTGTTGATTTCTCCTACCCTTTGCATCGCGACGGTGGCAACGGTGGGTGAGTGTACTGAGGGAACTTTACGATATTTCTTCTTTGAATTTACAAATTATCTATGTATGTACATTTACAAAGATTATAATTATACTGGTACCAGATTTTAAAAGTTCATATAAGCAGCCCTGTCCTACTTTAGATTTCTTTCATTGTTTCTATGTACTATGCGATAGTGTAGCACAGTGAAACGCCGGTTGCCTTTATCTACTTACCCGCCTTGAGCACGTGTTAGTACCATAAAGAGTGCTTTGTTGCGTTATTCGTACACTCAGTTTCCGATTTTTTTTTTTTCAGCAGTAATAGGAGCGGTTTCATAGAGTTGCAGTTAATCGGATTCAGAAATGGATGACAGAATGGCATATTTTAAACCTGCAGGATTAACCGACAATATAGCCACCAATTCTAACAGGTAATAATAACGCATTGTTTTCTCATTCGTACATCTAACCTGTCCATGAATTAATTCCCTTTTTGGACCGAATCGTAATTTATTAAATTTTACCGGTAAATGTGTGTCCTCTATGTTCAATAATGCCATGATTTAGAAAAACTTAGATATAATTTTCAATGATGAATTATATGTAAGGTTACATTAATAAAATTATATTTTTACTTTTGTATGAAAAGCGATAAACACAAAAAGGGATGTTATTTAATTTATTTTGATCCAGGTTATTATGTAATGAGTTTGAACAATTTGTCTTTCTTTCTATTATACTTCATAAAGATTGCTAATAATATCAAATTAAGAGAAGCTACAATGTTGAATTGTCTATTTAATCCTCAGTTCACGGGTCGATTGCTTAGTTAAATAATATTGAAATTGTGTGAATGAGATCAATTTGTACGAAAGATCAATCTTTTGGATCAAGGAACATTAGCTCAATAGAGAAAAAACAAATTACATGATTTTTTTAAGAAATTAAAATTAAAAGATTTGTAGTGTAATCAATTAATCTTTGGAGATATGGCAGGAGATATTACAGGAGATAAACAGATCTCAGATGGAGGCAAAAGATCTACTAACATGAGCTGAGAGTTAAATGTATATTTAATGAATTAGAAAATTAATGTTGCCAATAATATTAAAACAAATAATGAAATGGTATGGACAATTAAAGAAATTCTATCGTACATAACAGGATGTTAATATTTTGCAAAAAAACATTAAAGCAGCGCTATTGAAGTATACTCAAAAATTTAAATATGTGCAGCTACTAAGTTCATTATCTCATCTAACTGAAAAAAATATAAATAAAATAGTTAATCACTCATTTACTTTTATTAAATTAATCAAAATTTGAATAGCTGCAAAATGATATGCCTTTATTTCTGTCATTTTGAATAGGAATCTTGTTCCTTTTTATTTTTTTGTATTTTGGTTTTACAATTTTTCTTTTATTGTGTAAAAACTAAGCATGTAATTATTTAATTTTAATAAGATCTATATCACGTAATTTATTAAATCAAATTGATAATAGGATAACATCTATAATGAACATATTTATGTATTTATTCAGTTAATGAATTTTTTTATTATAAGTTTTACTTTGTATATTTTATGAATAAAATGTTGAACATTATTTTGTTTTGTCAATAAATTTTATCAATAGATGTCAAAGAATACATAGATTTGATTAAGTTAATTCTTAATGCCTTTTTTTTTATTCAATCATGAAAGTTAGCAACTAAAATACATTTGTACATTATTCCTGCTACTATAAGTATGTTTAAAAGAAGTTTATTATAACAGATGTTATATTTGTGTTGAACAATTGGAATGCTTCGCGCAAAGCCTTAATGATATACACAAACTCAATTGACTTACTTGTTCGAAAACAAAAACCATTCACGGTAGCTACATTTCAATTCATATAATGAAACTGAATAAATATTTTTGAAATGAGAGATTATAGAGTTATAGGCCAAAAATGATAAAAATCAAGTTTACAAAAATCTGTTTCTCGATAAATTAAATGGATTCATATGTATTGTATACTAATGAATAAGTTTCGCTCTGTACTAAAGGGATTCCGTATGTTATGTTAGAATTTTTGTTCAAAATAATTATTTATTTGGAATTTATCTACATTTAAATTTCAGAAGTGGTAGTAGGCTCTGGTAACTAGCAAGAAAAAGGAAATAGATTTTTTCCAGTCTTGTGCTCTTTACAATAAAAGGAAATTTTTGTAAGATATGACTAGGTGTTTGCTTTAATTTCTTGATTTGAAATTGTTATTCTCTTATTTTTGACATTGAATATTACCAAATTTAATGCTGATAATATATCGCTGCAAATTCTTTAGATCTTAATAGTTCTGTATAAACTTTTAAACAAATGTAAGATTATTGAAACAATACATGTGATAAGACATACCTATTTATTTTAGAGAAAACATTATATAAGGTTTAACCTACTATAGAATTCTTATCACATTTGTAAATACTGCTATATTTGATATCTCCCATTGATGATCTCATTTTATTTATACAACTTTAATACTTTTCTTGAACCTTTGTAGTATATACTTAAATAATTCTGTACTCTTTATCAATTTTCATTTATTTAATAACATTAAATAACCAATATTTCTTCATTGTTTTACTGTCGATATTATATCTTTACTTTCTTTACTTGTTTTTAATCCATGATGATCAATATATCTGTGACGAGTTACTAAAATGACATATGATAGTATGTTTCAGTTACGAATAATTAATATCTTTCACATTTACTCATCTTGCTTTCTTTTTTCTTACAGAAAAGTAGAAAAGGAGTACAAGCTATATGTAAAAAACATACCAGTAGAACTTGATGAGGTATGGACACAATATGTTAGCTTAATAATTTATACGTTACTTTATTTGTATTCATATTTTAAGCATGTATAATTAAATTTACACGTCTTTTATAATTAAGTAGAAAGTCTATATACTGAATACTTCAATATACTAATACTTGAAATGTGGAATAAGTTTTAAAAAAATATATTTATTTATTCGTGTGCATCATATACATATGTACATTGACCAATATGAATGGCTTCCTATCGTAGACTGGTAGCAGAATATCTGTAAGGAACGTATTCGTGTCCACCAAGGTACAATACCTGTTGTACATTTATTGTAAACAGCATTTACACTGAAATTGGTCATTTGGAATACCAATATTCTATATTTACGACGAATGAACTAATGTTTCTTTTTTTTTTTTGTATTTTCTCATACATATATGGTATTCATATAATAATATAATCTTATGTTCATTCATTCAATTCAATACTTACACTTATATTACATTTTTCCTGTATCTAAGGTTGGCTTGAGAGATGTATTTAAGCGATATGGAGCTGTCACTAGTATATTAAACCTTCCTAACTCAGATTGGGCCTATATAACATATGGCACCTATCGAGAGGCAGAGAATGCTATTAGAAATCTTAATGCATCGAGTCCTCTACATTTAAAAGTGAGTTTTGCATTAGAGAGAAGAGACAACCGACAATCCCAGCAAAAAGCAGAAATTCCAGAAGGAGAGTTTAGTGCAATCAAGAAAGATGGTAATATAGACGACAGCGAACGATTGAATGATTCAGAGCCTCGTTATAGATATCCAAATGGGCCAGGGTAAGTAATGTAAATGATGACTGTGATTATAAAAATTAATGTTTCCTGTTTAATACGACATAACAAAAGTTGAAATGTTCAAATTTTAGAGTGAACTATGGAACCCGTGGAAACACATTACAGTCACTGATTAATACCAATATACCTCCTCGTGTTCCAATTCACTCATACTGTACCGAAGATGACTTACTGTATGTGCCATTTGCTGACCCGCGCATGTACAATCCTTACGAGAATGCAGAACCTTTCTCAGATACAAATACATTATGGACAAGGTTAGGGATATGGTATTTCACACGTTAATAAATTTTAGATTTATTATTAGTGAGTGGTTTATATCTTCTGGTGTTTGCAGTGGTCACCGTGCATATACACGTGATGGGAAAAGACTAGTTTCTCTGGGACGTGGCTATACTTGTTACGACATCCCAAGTCGACCTGCAGTAAGAGACCAGATTTCCAAAGTCTATGAAAAACGTCTTGCGGTATGTTCACCGTTTATATTGTATTCCATGCATTTTTAACAATCGATTATCGATATCGTTATACAATATATTGATACTGGTATAATTGAACATATTGTTACAGGCTTTGTATGAATATGGAGAAAATAAGTTAAAAGATGACATTGGCAATTGTCAGTATTGTTCTAAAACTGGCAGGTGTAAGTGTCAGAGGTGTCTTGGATTCTACTGTGACAGAGAATGTCAAGCTGCAGATTGGCCTCGTCATAAATTCATATGTCAAGAAATGCCGTAAGGAATATTTCACTCTCTTCCAAAACTGCATAGAATATGAGCGTGTTCTATAAAAATGTAATTGATTCATTTTCTGATGAAACAGTGTCGCCCCAGTTTTTAAACAACACGTCATTTCAATTACTGTCAATTAAGTCATGTTTTGTCTTCTATTAAAATATGTCAAGTGGGATTGACATGTATTCAATATTTTCAGTGTTGGACAAATCGCGAAGCATACAAACTGATTTTTCTTTTTTAATTCATAATAATACAATTTGGCCAATTTATTTTTTCCTTGGATTCATGGTACAAAGCTGCAGTTGTTTAGCCCTTGTGCTGTAATGTTTCAAATACTTCAATATTTGAACTCAAGTATATTTATATGCAATTCTATTTATAGACGATTGTCCATTACCGTTATTTTTTATTTTAGGTTCATTAGGTTTTGGGGAAACTGTTATTTAGTAAGGTTAGCATTGTTCTGCAATCAGATGTACAAATCATATCATCAAAAAAATGATTCACTTTCTTTAAAAAAAAAAATTTAATCTAGTAGTGTTAGGTAAAGTAAGTTTAAGGGGGTAAATAACTTTCTCATTAATAAGTTACATAAGATATAATTAACTATTACTCATAATAAAGTGAAAGTGATTCTAATAAGGAGGTTCTAAGTAGTACAGTAAAGAAACAGATGCTTATAGTATTTGATTACTCGGAGCCACTTTGTCAATTTTTGCAGGAAAATCTTTATTTTAAGTATCAATCAAAAGTAACAAGTAATGCATTTAAATTTGAATTATTTATATGCACTCATCACTTTTCAAGTTTGTTATTAGGAATGTTAATGTATTTTAGATTATATTTTACACTTAAAATTAAGTGACATTAACGTATATCATTAATATTTGACGTGTACGTTCTAAGCTCAATTGATAGAGATGCATAAGCTTTAAAGACGCACACGTACGGTTTCAAAATGCATGGGTAATAAACGCGTTTGTTTTACGTATAAACAGTTGTTTTGATATTATGTAAGTCAGATTCATTCCATGGTCAATGGCTAAAATAAATAAATTAATACAACTCTGAATGTTACTGCTTCTCTTTTATGATAGAAACATAAAATATATTCTTTTTTATTTAATATTTACACTATATTTTCGGTATAATTATAATTATTTCAACCTTCATAGTATCAAATAATTTTCACTTATATTTTGTTTTTTTACAATGAATACATAATTATATTTGTTGGAAGAAATATTTTAGAAGAAATAATGGTTCCAAATATTTCAGTTGATTTCATAAAATATTTAAAAACTGCTCTTGTTATGATGAATTATTTGAAATATTATTTGAAGAATAAATGACCGTAATACTTATTTGAAGCAGCACAAGAGCAATGAGCAGCTTTAGTTCTCACGAAAAATTGTATTTTTTTTAACAAGGATGTTTCATTGATGTCTGAAATATGTCAGTACCCAATTTTATAAGTTTTGTTCCCTTATATGTACATTTTCGTTATTTTCACCATTAAGTTATTTTTTCTGTTTGATTTCCCTAGATCTTTAATAAAAGCAGCCGAACCTTTATCCCATTCCAATAATGAGGACGTTCGAGGTAACTCAAGAGTAACTAAGTACGAAGGAGCTCTCCGTCGACCAAAGTCTCAGGTTGACGCGGTGGCCGAAGAAGGTAACAAAACGTCTGTAACAGACGTAAAGATTATTAATTCATCAGAGGATGTGAGAGAAGTTCCTTCTCCAAAACAAAACAAACAACATGATCAAGAACAACGAAATAACACGGAAGAAGTGGCTATCCCTGAATCGGTAGAATATACAGGATCTAATAATTCGCATAACAAGAACTTCAAATCGAATTTACGAAACTCGAAAGGAAATTACAGCCCTGCGCAACATAATAATATTCGTCCTCAAGATAGAACTAACAAGCAACAAGATTCTCCTTCAGCTACACATGGAAAGCAAAATAATCGGAGTGAGTTTGGCTCGATTAATGAATCGGATAACTCAAGGTTTAATACAAATCGTCAAATGTCGGGGGATTCACGATATAACAATCGTTATTCCTCTGAAGATTCTAGAAGTACTGGTGCCGGAAAGGGGTTTCCGTCTGTTAATAAGAAAAGAAATGATAATCGATCAGAAGTTAACATCGTTCCAAAGACTCCAGTCCCAAATTCAGAAGATTCAAACGCTCAGTCGGATTTTATTAAGACGGATAAAGGGTTTTCTTTTCAGAAAGATGATTTTCTTTCCAAAAATAAATTTACTGATCTTAAGATCGTGTTCCGAGAGGCAGATGGGATTTACTGGGCTCAGAAAATTGAAAATGAGAATGATCTCATACAGATGATGAGAGAACTAAACGATCTGGCAGCTAAAAATAATTTGCCAACTGTCGAACGACCAGTTTCCGGAAATATCTATGCTGCGAAATTTGACGGTGTTTGGCATAGGGTTTTATTAAAATGCGTAAAGCCTGCAAAAGTGCTTTACATTGACTATGGTAACGAGGAACATGTTGACTTAAAGGAATTACTAGAATTAGAAAAGTATTGTAAACAATCATATTTTGCCAGGAAGATCAAGGTTGCAGACGATTCATCCGAGAAATATAAAATGCTTCAGGTTGATGATATGCTATCGGTTAAAATGTTTAAAGTAGATGACGATGGAGCTATTGTTGTACAAGTTCGAGGGGACCAGAATGAAAATCCTTTTGCACCTTTGAACGTTCTGCCAATAAATGTTAGTAATAAAACGCAGACTGAACGATTTGCTGAACAAACGATATCAAACAATCAACACAAAAAAATGGAAAACTCAATTGACGTCTCGTCAAAGAAGCTACAGAGTATCGTAGAATTACTTATGCCTGGCACCGATGGAATGCTAGAAATTCATGCCCAGTTACAATCGAATATATTCGCTGCTACTGCGATAACAAATTCCTTGGTGGACCTTTTCGTACAGATCTTACAAGAATTTCCTGAGGTCTGCAATAAAATGCCTAGAGATTCTTCGTTTAGGTAAATTTCATAATATAAAAGAATCAATCTTCTTTTTTTTAATTTTTGTCCTTAAGAAATGCAGAGTCTCTCGTATTTTGTTTCTAAAGAAAACGTTTCATGCATTCAAAGCAATTTTTGTTTGCTGTAATGTTAACTATTTCATAAGCCAACTGTAACAAATTACATTATCGAGATATATTATATAGAATAATCGATTCAAAAAGCCATTCGAAATAAGGGGGAGTGGCACATTTTCTCGGTTTTCACGCCTACAAAAGCTAGAAGCGGGGAAAGTTGGCACCGAATAATGCTTGTACAGAGTGTACTTTGAATGGTCTGAATTTCTTATTAACACTAGAACTACCAAGCTCAGGGTAAATGACCAGTTTCGGATGGCCCACCACAGCCAAAAAAATTCGCCGGTTATTCTAGTGTAAACGAAGTCTTCCTTTCCTTTCGTGAAGTATGACATATTTATTGAGACAACGTTTGGCTTTACCTGCCACGGCACGGTACAGCAATGACGTTTGCAACGTCATAAGTTGTTCCACTGCTTGCCGTTACGTGGCAACTTGGAGTTTGCCAAGTGGCACCACTTCCCCTTAATGCACGAATTTCATCATATTAAATTGATAACATCGACGGAATATCGTGTATGACATGTAAATTATAGTCTGTCGAATCTACGACTTGTTCAAAATTATGTAACACATCTGTTTCGTTCACTTTCAGTCCAAAAGTGGGCGATTTGATTTGTGGGGAAAGGGGAACAGGAGATTGGCTTCGAGGATATGTTGTAAACTTAGGACCCCCATTGAGATTAGCGGCAATCGATGAGGGCCGAGTAGAAGTCGTTGACGATATTAGACGGATTGATAAGAAATTTGCCAATATTTGCACTTTTGGGGTAACTTGCGAATTATTAGATACTGCACACACTTTAAAGGTAAAGTAACCAATGTAAACCTCTAACGCGAAATATTGCACATATTTTGTACTACAGAAATTGGTCATGGAGTATTTAGTTCCAAATTCAATTGTTAACGCTCTGTTTTATCGAGTCCGTTATTAGGAATAAAATGTAAAATGAGCGGAGGCATTCATTATTAATGTTTATAATATTTTTTTGTTTTAGCCACGGGACAAATCTGAATTCACCGTGATCAGCTGTGATAAGACAGATGCAGGTGTCAATGTTAAAATAATGATTACTACTGCAGATGATGCACGCTATAAAGCTGTATTAAGATATTGGAAACCCATGGCGGAACAAAAGGGTGTACCTTACTCTTCTTTAAGTAGTGGCTCGGAGGTACGATTTTTTTTGTCCAATTATTTAAGATTAAATAAACCGATAATTTAGGTACTAATTTATTTAACAGGTTTGTCTCACTACGTATCGTAGTCAGAGTCTCATGTATGCGCGCAGTCTTAAATTGGACGATCTAAAGTATTACCACAAAGTCATACATGAAGTTGCAAAAGCAAGCAGGACGGGTAAGTAAATCGCTTTATAAAACAATCGATAAGGAATCGTTTTTAATATTGAAGATACTATGTACAACGAGTTCTATCGAAATATGGCTTTAAGGTCGTTATCACGATACATGTCCTTTATTTTCAGCTCATCCATTGTCTACGCCTCCTGTTGTTGGGCAGATGGTTATCGCAAAATATATAGATGACAATTTCTATCGTGCTATCGTAACTGAGGTACAAGGTGAAAAAATCGGTGTTTCGTACGTTGATTATGGAAATGTTGACTATACCACCTTGAACAAACTTAAGATACTTCCTGATTCATTGAAAGAGGTTTGTGGCATTTCATATGTAGAATTTGAAACATGATACCAAAAGGAATTATAGCAAGAAACTGAATTACTTCCTCTTTAATTTATCTATTTACATGCCGAAAAGTCGTAAATTGCTTTCGAACGATACAACAAATCAGTATTCAAGAAAAATAAAATTGAGATAACGGGAGACAAAAAATGCATGCGACATTTTGTTATGGATATTGCAGTTTTCGAGTTGTAGCAGTTTGAAAGAATCCAATTACATGCTTTAGTCGGTCAGTAGTGCCGTTTCGTAATTCAGAGTGCTCTTGACAAATGGAAAATTTTTAAATCTTCGAATAGATCGATTTGAAATTCGTCCATTGTGATGAACCAACTTGAAAGGTTTCAAACGATTTATCGAAACTGAAATTGTTAAGATTTTCAGTTTATTACAAGCACTCTGTATAGTTACATGACATTGCGCACTGGCACAATATCCGGGATAAGGTGTTTGAAACGTTTTCAACTCAATTCTCGGAGATCAATTGACCTGTCAAAGAATGGCATATTTGAATCACCGGATACCAATGTCATATTCTAATTTCTAAAATTGTTTTTCCAGTCAAATTTGGTTGATGTATTGGACTTATTTAAAGCGAAACCCATTTTTAAGTATTAATATGCCATGCTTTGGGACTGTTCATTTCATTAAGTGATTGATTTAAATTTAAATGCAACAAAATAATTATAATATGAATCATAGAGTAGGAATTATAACGTATTAATATTTGTGTAGTACAATTGTTGCACTTCAAAAATTGTACTGAAAGATGTCCTCGTTGATGCTCCAATGACGAAAGAGGCAAATACATTCCTTACACAATTGGTGGCTGAAGAGACAGCCTTAATTTGCAATTTTGAAGGTTTGCCAACTGTTCAAGGCGTCGAACTGAAACTGCCTGTTACCGGGGAATCTATTAATGAGAAAATCAATCGGTTGTTGATACCCAATTGGAAGAAGAGGACAGAGGAAGGTATGAAAATCACAACTAGTACTCGGTTTCAATAAATTAACTCATCGAAACTCAGCAAATCCAAAGGCTTTAAGCCCTAGTAGTCACAATCCGAAAGTCGGAAATGATCTTTGCTCCACGTGTGTAAAATACATGGAGCTTTATTGATGTTAACGATTCTTATAGATGGTAATACTAGTGATGTTGTTTTGCCTAATTTTGCCAAAATGCGTTTTACTGCTTCTCACTGTGGGTGCGGGATTTAAACACATACTCGGCATGCGTTAGAGAATGTTTAAGAAGAGTGGAGGCAGGCGCTCAAATCTGAATGAAATAAAATTGTATGAAATTGTAGTTCTTAACACAGATAATTCATTATTTGATTAATTTAAAATTTAATTAATTCCTGTCGTATACGACTAATTTATTATTATTTCTATTTATTTTTAATTTACCATAGTTATATCATAAAACATACGAAATATAAAAAAAAGCATTGAGTTGAAATTAAAAAAAAGATACGTTATCCAACAAAACTACTTTTTCCCGGAACCTAGCATGAAGGTTATGTACCTCATGGACCTACGCGACGCTCATCTGGCCTTTCGAAATTAGGGTCAATGGAATTGTGGAAAAGAAAATTGTGGTTCACGGTAGACCAAATCATTGATCATTTTTTGGTGCAACTAAATTTGTAATAATTTATTTTTCGCAAATGCGTAATAAGTACGTAATAAGAGGTCCCTATTATTTAAATAAACATTTACTAGTTTGCGTTGGTTATTGTGAGCTCATGAAATGGTATTCGAACTGCAGACTTGAATGTCTGATTCTCTTTGTTGAATGACTCTCGAACAAGAAGTGTTGGGCTATGAGAAAATCAAATTGTAGCGATTATCGCTTTATGCCAAAATGACAACTACGGATCGCGCTAGCAACGTTGTAATGCATCGGCTTGAGATTTGTCCTTGGTTGTGTATTTAATTGCACTCCGTCCTTCTCTTTCTTTCCTTTTTTCTTTCTGCCGACTCTCAATCGAGAGTTTCGGCCACGGAACAAATCTAGATCCTAACGATTGATATCGCTCTACGCGATAGTGCCAACTATGATGGATTACGTAGCGCTGGCAACATCGCCTTAAATCGATTTCGGCTTTGACAGATTAAAGTTATTTTCACTATTATAAACGCGTTATTTAAAAAATTTCTAGATTTCAAGAGAAAACTCAATTAAGAACACTTTTTTCAATAGAGTATGGATTCATATTTCTTTTTCTGTTTTTATTTATATAATATTTAATTTGGTAGCCATACTGTGGTTCCTAGTCTGGCATCTGAGAGTAGATGCCCCAAACTTGAGGCGTGAAAAATGAGAGCTGCAGCTTCGTTTTGAAAAATACCGGTTGGGAATTTCATGCGATTTTTTTGTCTCTGACGTCATCAATTAAATATGGCCGACGTGTGGCTATTATGGGCTTAATGACTCTTGCATCGATTGGATAAAATATGTAAAGTTTAATATGATTTAACTACCAGTAGAGTGCACTCCGACTGGTGTTGCTTTGCCATCATTGTTGCCTTCTAACGCTATGTATGGAATTTGGTTATGTAAATAGTATATTACAACTTTAGAATTATTTTAATGCAGATCCTAGTTGTGAATGAATTTTCGGTAAGGTAATAAGTTTTCGGATTTACGGTTTTTCTTTCGATTATTAATGATTTAATAATTGAGTAAATAATTACTCATCATGGTAGTGCCTTTTAGATGTCTTTAATGATCGACTAATATTATAATATAAAGTTGCCCTTATCCTAGTTCGGCACATTTAAGGAGGAATGGTACTACGCGGCAAACTCTCAGTTGAGCGAGGGGCTATTCACTCGAAAATCAGTGAAAACTATTTCCTTTGAGAACCGATTGCCTTTGGTTGCATATGATAAACAACAATGCGGTTCGGTAACAAGTGACGTTCAATCTTAAAATTGTGAGAGTGCTTCGGTGATATCCAACGATTTCTAGTGATTTCTGCTTACTATTTTCAGCTGATTTCCACGTGATTTCGAGCATTAAAATCCATGATTTCCTGAGTGAACAACCTCTCGGAGTTGACCATGCTGCCCCGTAACGGCAAACACTGGAGAAACTTGGGACGCTATAAGCGCGATTGCTGTGCCGTTCCGCGGCAGTCATTGCAACATAATTATGTTATGCAGTAACGTCAACCATTACAGTTATCGGGCGTCAGATCTCAACAAAAATTCGATATTTCGCGTAAGGAAATAAAGACTTCGTTACGAGGAAATTCAATTAAAAAAATAGATATCTATTGTACCAAACAGCAAAAGGACACATTTACAAGTACTGGTGCGTTTATTGCATCTTATGTATTGCGTCTTGTAGCAAGCTGTTTCTGTCAGGTCGGACCCTACGTTTTTTTATACCACAAAGCCATGTCAAGACGGACATTAGCGCTCGTAACGGAAATTTGCTCAAATTTTATGCGAAGGAAATCTCCCCGTTGACAGCTTCCAAAGAATTCGGACGTTCCGTAGAAGCCCAGATCCTATTCGAGCGTTTAATGCTTTAAAAGTTGGTTAACAAATCACGAGTGGAGGGAAAAGAGGTCGCACGTATTAGCCAATGGCATTTTGCAATACATATGAGAGGAAGAGACGCGTGTAGACAGGCGGGTACTCTGAGTAAGATACAGAAAGAATGCAATCCGCTATATACAGGGTGTCGCATAATAGATAATTAACCTTTCAAGAGATGAAAGGGGGTGGAATTTTGGATTAGGAGTTCCTTATCCATTTTTGGCTCGGAACATTTTTCATCGAGTTATTAGCAATTAAAGTTGACCAACGAGACGGTGGGCGACCGGAGTACGCAAGGCCGTGGCACACCGTGAAACACCTTGCTCATGCTTTACGTTCCTGTAGGAAAAATTTCATTTTGATATGTCAAATGATGTAATAAATGAATGAATAAATAAATAAATAGGAATAAAAACAGTTATAAATTAATCAAATCATTAATTTATAAACAATTATTCGATCAGTCAATAATTTTTTGATTTATTATGTAGTTAAATAATGATTTTTAAACTAATTCTTTGATGATCTGTTTTTATTCTTATTGATTTATTTATTTATTCATTCATTTATTAAATAATTTGTCATATTAGAATGAATTTTTTTCTGACGGAACGTAAGGCATGAGCGAGGGGCTCCAACAACCCTGCATACTCCGGTCACGCGTCATCACTTTAGTCAACTTTAATTACTGATGACTTGATGACAAATGTTCTGAGCCGAAAAAGGAGAAGGAACTTCTAGTTCGAAATTCCACCCTCTTTTACTCCTTGAAAGATTAATTATCTAATTCTTGGGGCATCAAAAACCATGAATCCAGAGGATTTCTGGAGTTTCACTTCGATTTCGTTATAATTATTGTACAGAAACGATATATGCAGTAGGCCATTTAGTGAAATACCCAATATAATTCGACACAGCTGTCGATATAAATACGAACATCGGTAATGTAGGTATTTAGAAGGATCTTCTTTACCGACGTCGATTAAATTTTTCAACAGGTTTCACTTGACCTTACACTTCGTATATTTTACGCAAGTAGTTAAGATATCGCGTACGATTTTTCGGCTGCCTCTACAAGGACCCTAAATGTGAATACATTTAATACAACTACCAGAAATAATATCTTTTTGACATCATTCGTATCAGAATTACATCAAACGACCAGAAATACTTGATTCATTTTAAATCAAATTTTATTTTATTTTTCTTTGTATTCAATTTTGTTTTGATCTTTTGTACCAAAAAGTGACTACTAATGATGATCGTTTTTCTTCCAGACAAGAAATGTTATATGTTAGAAGACATGGAAATAATGTCTTTGGGACAAGTAGGTGAAATCGTATCCACTTTGGTACTGCATACTGTTTCTGATGGTTTTAGATACATAATGTGTCCTTACGATAGAGAAGCTTTAGGCCACACATGCAGTGTTATGCCGAGATTGGTAAGGCTATTTCTAAATGCTCTTTTCGCTACATTTTCTATGAATATTAAGTGTACAGTTTTGTAAGTGTACTTCAGCATATATAAATGGCTTTCCTGCGAATGCAGAGCAGCCAGTGCCTGAAGGGAAGGTATTAGTGTCTGCTAATGTACAATCAAAAGGTGTTGCATACAATGCTCACAAGGAAACCCCCCGAGGTGTCCGTCACCGATTTTCTTGAAATTTAAATATGTTGTAGAGGATCGAAAAATAAGGGACACGTATTTTTTTTTATCGGCCCAATCCCCTATTTAAGGGGTGAAAACCGTCCCTAAAGTTTACCCCCAAAAACGGTTTTTTCTAAATATCTCGAGTTGTAATCGATGTTTTGAAATGAATCAAAGCACAAAATATTTCTCTCTAGTAGGCGAAACTACTGTTAGTAATTCGGACCTCGGGGGTAGCAACCCTTATATTTTATTTCAGAAAAACGATATTTCTTCAAACATTTTTGAATATAATATTTGCAATAAAATTAAATAAATTACGGAAAAATAATTTTCGTGCTTAAAATTGAAAAATAAAGTTGACGTCTTTCAGGATTTTCACAAATAACAGCGTTACCGGGGGTAAACAACCCCTTAAGTGCAGAATAGTTTTGTACAATTTGAATAAATATTTTAAGGTGTACAATATGTACACTATGTTTATAACTGAATCGGCATTTTTTTCATCAGCCCAAACATCTCTTAAAGAGATAAATACCTTGAATTAAGATTCGAGTGCATTTTACGTAGGTGAATGAAATGGATGTGATCAGGAAAAGGATACGTGAAACAAATTAATACATATTTTATGGATAAAAGTCTGCATTAGTGAATCACAATTTCTATTTATTAAATTAATTAATGCAAGAGAAATATTAGGCATCATTCACTTTTATTTATGTATAAACCGATTGTTTCTTATCATGATTAATTTTTTAAGGATTGTAAGTAGAACAGTAATGGAATTCTTCAAAAAAGTGCGGTAAACATAGTGATTTCTGACACCATACACATCTTATAATAGCAGTATTTTTACATCCGGGTACCTCGCAATGAGCTCGAGTGCCACCGAAACTGAAATCCATTGGATTTACAAAATCATCCGGATTTATCATCTATATAACCGCTTTCATACCAAGAGTATTTAAATAGATTGACGTATCGAGGAGAAGATAATTTATTATGTGTCAAAGATTGTAATTTAATTACATTGTTTCTCCCGTGCAAGTGTTTATCTTTGCCCAACAAAAGTACACTATCAGAAAAATGTCTTATAAAATTCTTCCATATACGGAAGCCAAACACATTTAGTGGCTGTATTTTTCCAGTTGTCCCTTTGGGGATTTTAAAAAGCTTTATAATTTTGTTATCAGGTGTTTCTCTGTTTACTGCTTCTGTGCAATGTCCGCTCCAAGAATCTAGCAATAATAAACTTTTTTCTCCAACATTCGGAAAAAATACATCCCTCAACCATTTACGAAAACGTTCTGAAAATAATCGTACAAAAGTAATTACAAATTGTGTAGATTATTACGATACAATACGATAAACTTCATAACTATTTGTGGTTATGTTACTGATTATGATAATGATTTATTTCATAAAATTATATTCTGCGACGGGATTTCTAATCCCCAATCGGCAAACCGTCCTACGCCCGGGATTTTCGGCAAGAAAGGGGTCGAGCCTGATTTATTTATAGGGCACCAGGCGCGCGCGAGCGCGCCTCGGGCTTCCGGGCCCGGCCGTCCAAGCACGCAGACCCGGCCCCTGGAACGGGGCCACTCGGGCGTAGCCGACCGGCCACTCAGCCCCGCGAGGGCCTAACGCCCTTCGCGGCACGGTAGAGTCGGGGGGCGCGGAACGGTTCCCGGGTGAGCGAAGACAGTCAATTCGGGACCGGGACATATTACTAGGTCGAGAAAGAAAGGGACAACCGGTAGTGCGAAAAAACTTCCCTCGCCAGGCGCCTTTTATTTGCTACAGCGTCCCTGGACTACAGGTGCGCCGCGGGACATCTCCGACAAAAAGGGAACGGGGAGCCCTATCGAACGGGACAGGGAGGCGGCGGAAGTACAATTTGACGGGAACGCGCCGAGGGTGGTAACCCCCCGGATGGGGGCCCACAAAGGCACAACGCCCGGTCGGGAGAACCTAAAATCCGCCCCTCTGGGTCTCGGAAAGGGCCCGACGCCCGGTACTGCGCAGCGGTAAGGAACGTGGCGCCAGCCCACGGTATGACCCTTCACTTCTCGCACGCCCCGTCCCACGCGCACGGGACCACGGAATTTCCCCGGACACCACCGACGGGAAGCCTGAGGGGCACGAGACACAAAGGGCGCGCGAGAATCTTCTCCAGACACGACTATACTGGAAACGCGGACGCAACCCGACGGGAAACGGCACCGCCCTTCGCTAAGGGCGGGGGGGAGGACGAGTGCGGGCTCGGTACAAAGGCCCCGACGGAAAAAGGGCGCCCGGCGCGAAGGCCTATGCGGGGCGCAACCCCGACGGAAACGGAATGATCGCAGCGGAACGCGGTATGCGGCCCAGGGCGGCCCAGGACTCAGGCTCACGGAACGGACGGCACACTTGCGGTACAGAGGCCCCCTGGGCATGCTCGGACTCACCGGTAAGATGGGTGCTTCGGCGGGCGGCAGCGCTGCTCTCCTTAATCGGCACCCTGCAAGACGGGACCAGTACGGCGCCCTTCGGGACGGGACGGCATAGCGCTCTTCAGGAGATCGGGACGACGGCGCTGCCGCTGGCGGGAAACGGGCACGTGCTGTCACCGGTGTGGCGGTCCCTCTGGCAATGAGGATCTCGCCGGAAACTTCCGTCGGACGCTCTCGTTCCTCTGGCGGATCCTCCGGAACATTTCGGTGGGCCGGCCTGCCATCTGGTCTGGCCTAACTGGGTCACTAGGCCACCCAGTTAGGTCGGCCGCCGATGGATGGCAGCAGGGCCCCCTAAATTCGGACCCCGCCCGTTTCCGCGAGTCTGGAAGAATTAGCGTTCGCGCGTCGCCGCGCGCCGAATGTATGTACTGTAACGCGATTTTTCCTCCATCTGAAAAATCTCGCGCACCTTCGTCGATCCACGCTCTCGCCTCCCTCCCCGTTCTCCGACTATGCAATGGGCGCCAGTTGATTTTTGGGTCCCCGGAACCAACAAACCGGTCTAAGCCGAATCGTAACTCATAATTGCAAACCTATCACCTAAATTTTATCACGAAANAAAATTATTTTTCCGTAATTTATTTAATTTTATTGCAAATATTATATTCAAAAATGTTTGAAGAAATATCGTTTTTCTGAAATAAAATATAAGGGTTGCTACCCCCGAGGTCCGAATTACTGACAGTAGTTTCGCCTACTAGAGAGAAATATTTTGTGCTTTGGTTCATTTCAAAACATCGATTACAACTCGAGATATTTAGAAAAAACCGTTTTTGGGGGTAAACTTTAGGGACGGTTTTCACCCCTTAAATAGGGGATTGGGCCGATAAAAAAAAATACGTGTTCCTTATTTTTCGATCCTCTACAACATACTTAAATTTCAAGAAAATCGGAGACGGACACCTCGAGGGGTTTCCTTGTCAGTGCTAAATTTGAAAAATGGCGCTGTTTATCATGTTATTGAAAGTCAGTACTTCTAACACATGTTGGAATCAAGAGATGTTATGAATGTAAGAAGGGGATTTGAAATACAATTGAATCAACTCGTTCGCTACCACGGTCATAGGGATAACAAAGCGCCGTGTCACACATATGTGGCGGCTGTTAGCGAACGTGTTAAAATTGTATTAACTTATGTAAAATGGAATCCAAATCAAAATTTTGAGCACATTTTGCCTTTTTTGCAGAATTACAACTATTAATATTTTTATACAAAACACTTCTTTTCCTATTATTGATTCATTTCGTTGTCAATCCTCTGCGCTAGAACGCCACCGCTGAACGAAACGTCGTGTCAATCATGTATCAATTGCGCACTGAGTCTCCGGCGTTTCGATATGGTGTCATCAAATTTGTAAGCAATGCATAATAGCGGTACGAGAAAACATGTTATGGACGAAATATTGATATATCAACAATTACATACTTACTATTTCAGTGTGTGTGGTACATATAGGGCTACGTTAGTTACCCGTCGTATCTAAAGATAGATTCGTAGCCAGAGACTGTAGTCGCCCGTCGTATGTGAACGCCATTTCGTGACAGGCAACTATAGTGGTCTGTTGTAGCGAAAAGGCTAAGAACTGTCTGTCATATCATAAAATTTACGTATAGCTGGAATTTTAATTTCTTTCAGTTGTATTTAAATGCAATTCGTTTGAATCATGTATTTTTTCAGATGGAAGAGTATTGTAAAAACCAAAAAGAACATTACATTCCACGGAACGGAGAGCTTTGTATTGCTCCATACGAGGGCTGCATGTATCGCGCCGCATGTATAGATCAATCAGGTTCTAATTCGACGAAAAAAACCTGTACCATTTTATTTGTGGATTTTGGAAATATCGAAGAAGTAAATTATACCGATATTAGAGTCTTTTCAGAAGATTTCTTATCTCCACCAGCCCTTGGCATCGTCTGCACAGTTGTCGGTAAGTATCAGTGGATCTAACAGATTATAAGAAACTAGTCGCTTTACTGTAAATGCGTTCACCACTCTTCAAGATCGTGGTACTTCGACTTGGCGAGTTTTATAAACGTGCATTCAAAGCGAATGGCTTGACTAATTGGTCACTTAAAGGATAGACAGTTATCACACCTTTATACAGGAGCTATTTTCGGTGTGCGGATGTTAATGAGGAATTTAAGGGTTCTCTAAGGCCACCTAGAATGTCGTGAATGATTTTTGCGTTACTTGCGTAAAATACGCAAATCTTAATCGATTCAGATGAATCCGGCAGATGGTAATACTAGCAACGTTGTTTTGCCCAATTTTTCAACGTCTTTGTACTAGATGCGTGATCGAATATTTAACAAGAGATAAACGTTCAAGTCTCTGGATCAAATCAAATTTGATAAAATTGCAGTTTTTGACATAAATAATTCATTGTTTAGAAAATTTTAAAAACGAGTAATTCTTAATCAGCCCTATTTATTTTTGGTAAAACGGGTTTACGGGACCCAACTCCGATGACTTTGACCTTTATATATCATTGCCAAGGACACCCTCCTGAGTGACCGCCACATAAGGTTTTAGCCAACGGTCGTTGTTTGTTTGCTTGTTTCTCGTTGTTGAATATAGATTTAAAGACTCGTGTTTGTGATGATATTTCGTTTATCGGTGTATTACTGCCTCGGAATTGTGAGCCTGTCACAGGCACCACAGCCGATTTTTAGAAGTGTCTACAGTAGGCACCATCACATGAAAACGGCTTGAATCCTGTTGGACAATTAGGTGCTTATCAGGTGCTCCACCCCTTACTCCGAAACCAAAATGCACGCACTTTCCGTGCAACAATTAAATGCCATTAAGTGCTCCAGATATATCCTACAACTAACAAGGAAACATTCCCAAGTGTCCGCCCCCGATCTTATTGATTTCCATATATGTTGAAGAACAGAAAAATCTAAGAGACACGTGTTTTTTTTATATTTGCAATGGTCTACATTTAAGGGGTGAAACAACCCCCCAAAGTTTGGCGAAAATTCGATTTTTATAACAATTTTCGTAGAAGCAGTCGAGGGATTTCGACGAAACTTGGTATAAACGTATTCTGTATAAGGACGGTGAAAACACAATATTGTCCAGCAATGCTACACCCCCCCAAGGAGGTGAACTACCCTTCAAGCGACATTTTTTTGTAATATCTGTTAAACAAGCATTTCTACTTAAGTCCCACTTACGCGATGTGATTACTCACAAAAAATGAAGAAATACGTGTTTTTTGCTTGTTTCCAATAAACATTTACACATCGGTTGTAAACAATGAATGTAGGGGGTATACGGGTATATTTCGACTAGCTATATTGGATTATATCGTGACCAATTCATTGTACATAAATCTTGTGAACGTGCTTATTCCTCAAAATGTCCTTGGTTTTCATGGCATGCAATTATTTATAAATAAATTTGAAAAAAAGTTTAAGAGACTAAAATAGTTTCGCAACATATCCGATGACGCAGTCATCACCCGTTTCCAACTAGTAATACAATCTCCTTGGTGAAACGGTAAAATTGGATTTTTACCGTTTTTACGATAATAAAGTTAGCGATATTCGTAAATAATTGCATATTATGAAAACCAACGACATTTTGAGGAATTAGCACGTTGACAAGATTTATATACAATGAATTGGTCACGATATAATCCAATATAGCTAGTCGAAATATACCCGTATACCCCCTACATTCATTGTTTACAACCGATGTGTAAATGTTTATTGGAAACAAGCAAAAAACACGTATTTCTTCATTTTTTGTGAGTAATCACATCGCGTAAGTGGGACTTAAGTAGAAATGCTTGTTTAACAGATATTACAAAAAAAATGTCGCTTGAAGGGTAGTTCACCTCCTTGGGAGGGTGTAGCATTGCTGGACAATATTGTGTTTTCACTGTCCTTATACGGAATACGTTTATACCAAGTTTCGTTGAAATCCCTTCATTTCTTTTACGAAAATTGTTATAAAAATCGAATTTTTCCCAAACTTTGGGGGGTTGTTTCACTCCTTAAATGTGGACCATTGCAGATATAAAAAAACACGTGTCTCTTAGATTTTTGTGTTCTTCAACATATATGAAAATCGATAAGATCGGGGGCGGACACTTGGGAATGTTTCCTTGTAAGTCCGAAATGCCATCCCTGTCACTCAAAAACTATCCCCGAATAAATATGATCCAAAAGAGAAGTAGTAGAAAGTTAGAAATTTCATTCACTTATTTCGTGCGATAATCAGATGTTCTTTAAGTGCTCCAGGAATACCCCTCAACTAACTCACTATGTAAGTGCATACTGCCACTCCTTTCAACTGGAAACTAACCCCCAGCACATTGACTTCGATACAGAAGTGGTAGAAGAACCAAAAATACTCTTTTCTCATGCATTTATTTCGTGTTTCTTGAGTGTTGTAGAAATATGCTGGGTACTAAATTATTATCCCCCTTATATGCCAAACAAATAAAAAAGGCACATTTGTATTTTCTCATCAGAGTACGCTGTTACGTCCCGTCCTTCTTGATGGTAAAAAGGCGGAAAAGATTGAAGAGATTATAGGAATATGGAAAACAAAGGGAAGTTAAGATTCAGGATACCGTCAGATGGTCCTGAGACCAGCTCGTCTAATCTATTTGAACTAATTTTACTTGGGGTTCTGGGTTAGGATTGGCAAGTTGAGAAGCTGCCAGTCGAACTATATGACCGACTGACGATTGGATTCCGAGTAGGCCAATTCGATGTAGGCCAAACGAATTAAGAGAAATTGGACCACTAATGTGGAAAAAGAAAATAATAAGCGGTTTGAATTCCTTAATAAAGCATTTATTATGAATAGAATAAAACAACAACGATATAATGGATAAGGTTTAGAAGAAAGATATTAGTGTTATTAAGGAAAAAAAAATCGTGTAAAGTTAATTAAATTACAAGTATATAAGCTTAATTAGGGAAAAAAGATGTAGGCATACCTGGATTTAATATAATCCACCAATAGAAGAGACTGCTCTCTTTTGAATCGACACTTGATTTTGAGAATGGAATTGGATGATGCTGCGGACGTATTCGCATGGACTCGTCTGAACTGAACTGGAACTGAAACTGAACTGAATTCGCGCTCTTGTGACATGAGCCCTTTAAAGGGGTTCGCCTTTCCTTTCAGTGACCTAATCGATGGAGTGAGATTTCATCGATATCTTTAGTTTGATAATCGATCGGTTTGTCATGCTGTCTAAATTGATATCAGTACGCCGTCTTCCGATTTCCCTTTACAGTTTATAAGATCTTAGCCTAAATAAGCGAGACGCTCGTGATTCAGCTCCAACGAGTGATAATAAAACTCATTAGTACTTAAAGCTAGAGATAATCTATCGGGTGGGTTACGTGGGATGTAACAACGCTACTTTGCGCCGTACATACCAGTGTTAGCTTGACTTACAATTTGATAACATAGTGTCACCTGAGCAGTGTTTTTATTATTTTAAGATACACTTTGTTTTTAAAACAAAATTTTACATTTTTTTTACAACCCTTAAGGGGACTAGGTAGCGACAATAGACCGAAAATGGGATAACATTCACATGGCATTTGTGAAGAACCGAAACAACGTATATACATTTTCTTATTTGCAATGTTTTTATCGGAGTTTTGGCTATTAAATTCAGTGGTTGTGGTTTCAAAAATATTAATATTTAAGGGAGATATGGGCGGATGAAGAAGACAACGCGTCTCATGGACTGCTCCCTCATTGTCACGATTCCGAGTGGCCGGTTGAAGTTTTCGGCAATATCCAAACGCCTTTCTCTTCAAGAGATGTTCTTCCGCAGACTGAACTTAACATTTTTGAAAAAACAAAAATTAAAAAGATGGCGGTTCAAATTTGTACAATATCGGAAAACGGATGAAATTTGTTGTTATAACACTAATAATAAATTGATTTTTTTTACATAAACGTTGGTGCATTTCGTAGAGAAAGTTGATAGGTTCATTTAAAAAAGAAATCAAGGCGGTATCATCAATCGTTTTTGAGTTATAGCGTCAAAATTAGTACAAAATGCTGTTTCGAGAAAAACGCGTTTAAGTTTTGGCGCAGTACTACAGTACGGCAGAAAAATTGCAACTTACGTACGTTAAAAATTGCCGGCGTTGTGGAAGGACTTCTCGAGTTCAGATTTCTCTGTGACAGCAATCGCGAAACGTCGGTTCTTTTCCACCCTAGTTTTTTTTTGTCGATGCTTGCGATCTCTTGTCTGCATCCAACAAGGGACGTGACCCGTTAACCGTTTAGCGGAATATTGGAGTTTTGTTGTTCTCTTGAGCTCAATTTTACGAATATTTAAGTTTTCTTTGCGCCAAAATGTTTGGAAGAGATTGTAGTAACAGGATACAAAAAAAAAAACGACGAATATTCGATATTTTCCGATGCCTAAGCTCCTTAAGGTACATTATGCCAACCCTTGTGACGTCGTCACACCATCGTCGCACAAAAATTGCAAGAATTAAATGATTTCTTCACGAGGGTAATAATTGCTAATTAATTGCCCACAGACGAACCAATCGACTATTTTTGCTTCATCTCCTAGCTGGCCCTGCTACCCCTCGCGACCGACACAGCGAAACCATGTATAAACTGCAGCAAATCACGATTTTTCATTAATAATATTCTCCCAGACCAGTCATGGGGGTAGGTTAGGTTAGATTTGTGGGTACGTCGAGAAGGGTGTAACCCTTCTCCCCAGCCGCGCGCTCCATTAGGATGTTTCCAGGGGAAGTATAACAGATTTTTGTTTCTGTCCGCGAAAGGAGATATTTTGTATGGAAAAGTATAGTTTGATTCCGCGTTTCACCACCAGGAAATTTCGTCGACAGGTTGTTTAGCCGTCAAGTGTTTTGCTAATGTAAATTTGTTAACAAATTATTATTATCTATAAGAATAACTCCTCCAACGGACTGAAGCAAAAATACGTAGTACTTCTTGGAAAGACTGGAGACGCGTGGCTGCGGGAGGGGCGGGGGGGAGGGGCTGCGCTCCCCTAGACGCTCCCGCACAACGAATCTAGCCTACTTCCATTGTTGGTCTGGGTGGATATTATTTATAAAAAGAAAAGTGACTTGTTTGTTTTCATTATTGCACAAAAGGAATGTATGAAATTTCCGATTTTCTACCACCTCTCTCTTGGGGAATATTTGCTCGGGAATAGTTCTTCGGTTAAAAGGACGGCGGTTCGAACTAGGTTATCCGATATGTTTGGAGTATTTAAATGGCACTTAATTATTGCATGGAAAGAGTCCATGTAATTTTCGTATTTCTGCCACTTTTCATGCTTTTCTCTAAACGTCATGTATTTCCGGGCGTGATGATGGCATTCATTCTGTCAGGTGGAGCAGCAGTTCGCGTCTTTTCTTGATGTTTCAGCACGGCCGGCGCGTGGCGCTTCATGGTGGTCTCCTTATTATTTTTCCGTTTTTCACTCTTATCATGACGCTGAATTCAATACTCTCCTTCCGGTCTACGCAGAGACTTAAATTAGATTAATGCGTCTCTCTGTTTTGAGGGAATCGAAGTGACTACGTAACAGTTTCGATCTCGAACTTATTAACAACTGAGAATCAACAACTGTACTGATTTCCTGGTTGCCGGTTTTATTGACAATTGACGGGATGTTCTAATTGGTGGGGGGTCTCTATGGTCTGAGTGACGGCGGTGCAAAGGTATTCCGATGCGCTGCGGAGTCATCAGGATTGTAGCCTTGGATTGATCGATATCTTTTTTCGTCAGCTTTGTCAATGAATTTGCCGCGCTAGGCGCACTTAACACATTAAGGACCGCTAAGAAATCTATAAGACATACGCCCAGGACCGCGCGGACCACGCCCCGCACGGGCAACTCGTGAGCGGTCTGTAACAGATGGGGCGCGAAACACGAGAAAACTCGTGAGCGGTCCTTAATGTGTTAAAATTCTTTCAGCAAGTACTTTTCCTAATTGCGCGACTGTTCTCGGCTTTCTATTGCTGTCTTTCGGGTACCAGATTGCGATTTTTGCTAGATTCGGGGGTACAAAGATGCCTACGTAACAGTATTAACAATTTATGTTAAAAAATTTCAGTTCAATTTTGGAATAGCCTTAAAGGGGGAAATATCTTTACAGGCTTAAAAAAGTGAAGAATTTTTTATTTCATAAAATGTTCATGTAACATCTCGAGGATATGACCCAGAAGTTTTAAAGCGAAATTCAGAGTCTTTTGTTAAGTCGTAGGGGCCTTGGCTCAGGAGGATCGGGCGATGCTCGCTAAGATCGTTGGCTGGACCGAATTACGTGGGACGTTGAAAAGGGATTAGCCTCCAAATGGTTGAAACCAACCAAAGACTTGGTCGAGTTGAATACAATAAAATGGTTTATTGTTGATGATTCGATTTTTGTACAAGTACGCGAGACAAAATTCGAGAGACAAAGTCTCGATGCTTTGAATACGGATTGACCCGGATTGACCCGGACCGACCCGGACTGACCAAAAGACGCAGACCAAAGACGCTTAGCCCTAGTCTTTTACTAACTTAAGGTCACGTACGCATATTGAGTCTAGAACCTCATTGGTCGGATCATAGGTTCGGGAGGGAATTCTCTTCGGTGATTCGTCGAGCATGGCAGGGTAGGAATAATCAGTTTTCTGGGAAATCCATGAGTGTTCTAGTTTTCTTGGAAATTGGGGAGATTTTGGGACATTATCCGGTCGAAGGTTTCAGAGCGGTTCGAGGACTCATTGTGGACACGGATAAGGATAAGTGAGGGCGGGGTACTAGTTGATATTTATATTAAACGCGTTTCTTATAAATATGCTTAGGCTCTAGATATGTAGACTAATCTGAGAATTAATATTATAATAACGATGGTTAGGTCGGGATCTAATACTTTCCGAAAGTATAGCCTGTTAGCGTAACTCATCTCCGCTTGGTTCTGGAGCGCACCGCGAGTTTATTCGAGCGCACAGAGGGGGAAGACCTTCCCTTTTTAATCCAACTCTTTGAAATCGAGGCAACAAGAAATATGAGAGGTCGATTCCGAATTTGAAACTCTTTGGCGGCAGCTCGTGGTGGAAGAAATGTAGTTTTAACCCTTTGCGGACGAGTGTCTGCAGATAGCAGCCCAAAAGCCTTTATAATGGAAAAGTCTCGTCCGCAAAGGGTTAAATCTTTATACGGTGTCATAACGTTCGTAGGCTACTATTCCGGCAAAGTAATTGATTGAGTAGTGAAAATTACTGTCAAGAATGTATGTTCTGGAAAAATAAGTAAAATATTCAAGAGTATTGCAAGTGGTATGAAGAACGAGAGGAAGAGTGCACACAAATCATGAAGATTCCGCGAGGATAATGGAAGTTGCTGCAGTGACAAAGATGTTTTGAGGATCAGGTCGAAAGTTTGGATTGAAATACGAAAATGATATAGGAGATGGTGACTAAAAAACGTTCCATGTAATTCCAAATGTTAATTCGTCCAGATACTTCGGCAGCTACGCAAGATCATCTTAGAAGATGATCCTAACGTGATGCCATACATCCAGTTTTAAATATTGCGTACACTAGAAAAATTATATGGAATAGATAATAAGTATAATTAATGATATTTGAAGTTTCAAAAGTGTCGGACAAATTTCTCCTTTTGAAAAAAATTCTTAAAATGAACTTTTTTCATCTGCTTAAAGGTATTTACCCACTTAAAAAAATGACCTTTTCCCAATTGGTTAGTTTAAGATGGGTTTCACTTTACCTTAAGTAAATACATTGTTTATGTTAATTAACTACAGATTTCTTAATCCATTTCTCGTCATTAGAAAAATCAAAAATAAGTGGTCAATTTAGAAAGCTATTTATATCAAATTATGATTCGATAATTAAAGCACTCTATACGTATTTCAAAATGTAATAAACAAAATTATTTGCGTACCACTTTCGTTCAATTTCTAATAATTATATATTTTTGTAATTCATCAGATTTCTGCTCCGTCGACAGTGAAGGAGAAATTCCAGCGAAGATAGTCAACCGAATAAAGGAATTAGTCGTTGTGGACCAGCCTACGAAAGTAAAAATTATAAAATGTAATGCAAATGGTGATTACCTCGTGTCACTTCCAGAGGTCAAAAAGATTTTAACCGAAGAAGGTTTACTACCTGCATAGTATACGATGGAAACTATGAAACATCAAGGAACTGAAGCCCGAAATGCTCGAATTAAACGACTTCTTAAGATATTAACATAGAGCACTTCAGTGCGATGACCAAATGAAACTTGTCTATTTGTTTACAACACTTTTATTGCTAAAACTAATAGTTTCTTTTACATGCCACTTAGTAAAAGTCTTGGTATGTTAGATATGTGTATACTATAAATGAGGTATTCTAACGGTTATTTTTTTCATTGCTCAAACTTGATTAATAAATGCGTTTTTATGATTTGACCAAGTATTATTCGACATTTTGTTCTAAAATAACATATTCCAATCGTATGATACAAAGACTCATTATATATAAGTGTACAGGGATTTCATCGGGATTAAAAAACCTTACACTTATAAATTATAATCGAAGGTAATGGCTCCTAAGATGGTCAATCCTTTTTATTTGTTTTTTTACTGGATTCATAATATTTTAGTTTGTACGTTAATAAAGACGAAATGACACAATCACGGTAGTCGACATTTTCTTATACCAAAAATCTTTTTATGCTCTGAGATCAATATGCTTTTGAAAACAACATATGAAGTACAGAGTTTAAGACATAATATCGTATAGATACAAATTTATTGCGCTCAGGTTTTCTTTAAATGTTGATTAGTATGTTGTCTAAGGGTAAGATATGAATGGTTTTTTAAATGAAAAGGAATATCTACCACAATGTCTTCTTTGAATTTTTAATTTCTACGTCAACAATTATCGGACTACTGTACGCAAAATAACATTTGCGGATTTTTATAAATACACTACTAACTAAAAATAAGACGATTGTAATAAAATGTTAATAGAAAGACATTGCAACCCCGCTAATCTCCGGTTCGGCCTGCTCGTTCGCATGGGCGGCCAACTTTCTTCCTGGTTATGCGATCAAACCTGGGCCGTCAAAATAAGACCGGGGAACCGGGTTTTCCTCCAAATTTTTGGGCGTCAGACACGCCGACGTGCCAACTGTCCCGATGCGGCATTCAGTCCGTACCCAGGGACTTTCACCTACCCGGTTTAGCTTCTCTTCGACCCCGAACTCGTAACTCGGATTTCTCAATCCGCACTCGGCTAGCAGGGTAACGCTTATTGCGACCGCGAAGAGTGGCGGGGTTCTTTTCTTTATACCGGAACAGGAGGGAGCAAGAAACTCGAAGACTGACAGACAAGTTAGGAAGCATATATTGTAACACGATTCGGTTCTTTACAAAATAATAAAGAAGAATATTACATAGTTAAGAATTCAGAAGTCTCCATAGAAACCCAGAAGGATACGGACGTTCGATGCTCGATAAATGGTATGTTAGCCAACGGATGGCGGCGCTGTAATCATCACTCGATCTCTCTTAATCTTCTTCTTGAAGACCCCCACTCTTGTACAGCGAGTAGAAAATGGATTAACACTAATCAACCCGATTACCTCGGAATAAGTAACGCATTAAGTATCTTGCGCGCACATGGATTACATAAATTAAATTGTGACAATAAATTCTCGTCTTATGCATGAAAACTCGAGGCATGTTTCGAGGAAGAAAGAGGGGCGCCACCAGCCTCGTAAAATGCGGCAATTATTGTTCCAACATAGGAATTGCTTCTATTATGCAAACGGAACATGTCCTGAGATTATTAGACGTCGAGTTATGATGCAACGGTCTCTTAACGTTCGTTTAAAAAGAAAGATCTGTGCACTTGGTGCAAGGATGCGATTATTAGGCACTTGGAAGGCGATGCACTTTGGAAGAGATTTGCGAATCAGTGTCGAGTTACCTTTAGCATGTTTCAAACTGGTCGGATAACTAACGCGTTTGTTTACATTATGTCGTGGGATAATTACCATACGTCTAATTAAACGAGACTACATAACCAGGGTCGGCTTTGAATTAACAGGAGCTCCGGGTTAGATCATCCCTGAGGACGCATTCCTCAGTTTGGTTTAAAAGACGCGTTTCATCCGTAGTTATTAAATTGATAAAATGCGCCTTTTAATATTAAAGATAAATACATAACATAGCGTCTACGTGTGTTTGAAAGCATGTTCGTGTATATCGAAAGAGGTCTTTTAGCCACAATTATTAAATGATTAAAATATCTCTTAATGTTTAAACAAAAATAATATACCGTTTACGTGTAATTGAAAATATTTTCATAGATATTAAAAGACGTTTTTCATCCGTAGTCTTTAAATGGATAAAAAAAACATCTTTTAATATTAAGCAAAATAACTCAACATACTCTATGTGTCTAAAAATATGCCTGTAGATTTTTTGTCGTCAGTGACAGTGTTCGCAACATCATTTATCATGGACTGGGATGGATAAAGAAGGTTCTACCTATCGATAAAAGTTTAGATTGGCATTACAATCTCCACTTTAAAAACCGTCTTACAAAAAAAGTGGTTTATTAAAAAATGCAAAAGTTCTCTGGAAGGCACTGGAAGTATCGAGTCACTCATTGCTAGACAAGTCGCGTACAAGTTTGAACTAACGACTTAAAGCCGAACTGGATAAAATTACGAATTAAATGAAAATGTACAAAAATATTGAACTTTTTAGACATCAATAACATAATTGGGGTGCACCACCAGTAAATGGTCTTCGTTTACTTCGCTGGAGTCATCCTTGTCTTTGAAGTCTGCCAGTGTCAGTGGAATCAGCACTTGGTCCTTTAAAATAAATAGTAACGGGGTAACCGTTAAACTTATTCTACTAACACTTGTTAATAGAAATTTACATGATATAGAAACCGTTAACGGACTGAACAATACCGAACAGCATTTAAAGTTAATTATTTTGACACGTTAATAGCAACTTACATGGTATATAAGTCGTTCTACAATTTTCTCCACCAATGCTTTCCGGTCCAGCAATTCCTCCTCCGAATCGATCTGATCTTGCACTTGATCGAGATACCAAGCCACCAATTCAGACTTCCTAATTCCTTCTTTACCTTCCCCTAAAATAAAATCAATCACACTTTACACCCAAAGGATATTGACATAAACAGAAAGTTGACCACTAGGCATCTTATATTAATCATATTAATATATTATAAGCTAAGCTATTTACGCTAAGAATGTATTCCCTTCCCTGTGAATTAATTAACCCTGATCATAATCAATGTTGATAATAAATATTAAATACCTTCGGTTTCAAACCGGCTTTCCTGGTTTCTCATATACAACACCAACATATTTGAAAGATTTCTATATTCATCGAACGACATTGTAAGTTTCTTCTTGGGTGGCTCAGCGACGGAACGTTCCCCAGCAGCAGCTGTCGTACGTAATAATAAAAAATAATCCACGTTATCGACACATAAGTAGGTATAAAATAACAATAGAAATGTTCATTACAAGCTGGAGTAGACTCAGGGGTGGTGGCATCCATTGCATCGAAAGCAGCCATGAGAGGAGGTGGCTCATCGAGGTCCATCCCCATATTTCCTTCCGTTTCCTCATCGAGATCAATATCCGGTTGTTCCACTCTGACTATACTTTTGCTCAACAGTCTTCTAGCCTCTTTTACATGCTTCACCGTAACTTCATCAACACATTCCAACTTGGCCAAAGCTTCTGCTAACCTCACAAGGCTTTCCAGTTGTCGAACAGTGACTCTCCATGTTTTTCCTGCACCGGCGCCTTCTCTTTGTCGTAGGGATGTATAACTCTCCACCAAAATTTCAGCAGCAGCCTAAAAATACAAAAAAAATTCGATTACATCCTTCGTATGTTCAATCTATATAAATCTATAAAAAATTTAACGTATCACTCACTGGATTTATAACTGGCTTAAAATGCTTCGCAAAATTAATGTACTTCAGGATCTCCGTCTGAGTGTAGATCGTCTCAATGTTGATCATATTGTTGCAGTGAAGGTCTACGATCTTCTTAGCTATCGCATTGTCTATTACTTCATTACACTCGTCCACCAGAATAAAAAACAAATCAAATCTCGACATAATCGGAGCCGTTAAGAGGATATTTTGTTGCAAAGACTTAGATCTGTCGTATCGACCACCTATGGGGTTCGCTGCAGCCAATATTGAAGTCCTAGCATTTAAAGTTGCCCTTACACCAGCCTGCGTAAATAAATTTAACCTATAAATCAAGTTACTCTGTTTCACTATAATCTCACTACATCACTTCATATCAGTAGAAGTAATTTACTTTAGCAATGGAAATAGTTTGTTGTTCCATAGCTTCGTGAATCGCAACCTGATCTCTTGGGTCCATTTTATCAAACTCATCGATGCAGCAAATCCCATTATCGGCCAACATCAGCGCACCGGCTTCGATAACAAAGTCCGAAGATTCCTCGTCCCTGACAACGGCAGCTGTCAAACCAGCAGCACTGGAAGCTTTCCCAGAAGTATAAACAGCCCTGGGAGAAAGATCGGCAACCAGTTTCAACATTTGAGACTTCGCCGTGCTGGGATCACCAACGATGCAGCAGTTTATGTCCCCCCTGAGTGTCGTTCCTTCCATAGTGGTCTTTGGCACTCCACCAAACAACATCAGTAGAATGCCTTTCTTTACTTCTTCGTTCCCATGAACAGCGGAAAACAGACTTGAGACCAAGTTCTGGTACAAGTTTTTATCTCTGCTCATCTCGTAGATCTTGTTCCACTCTGCCTCCGTCATTCGTTTCTTCATTATCTCTTGAGAGATCTCATCCATTGTCACTTCCGTTCCACCGAACTGAAAATTTGGATGTGATTATTTACATAAGCTTAAATAGGTTCATACATTACACGTCGTACAAAATATAGGGAATTATAGAAATTCGCGTTACAGAGTTTATGGTACATCAGATAAAGAAATCAAGGCTATTAAATAAAGAATCTATGAATTCTTACTCGCAAACTAGTAGCCGTGACACTGCAAGCTAGGAACGCCATCTTATAATGCAACTCTCTGACTGAAAGTGCTTTCAAACCTTTGACACCTTCACCCTGCTCACCGGCTTTATGCCGGGAACCAGACTCAGCCTTTGCAGCACTCGTTGCCAAAACTCCAACATCTGGCACCACTATTAGTGTTCCAGTAAAGTCATACCTGTAAGTACTCATCATTAAGATTAAAAACTCATATTTTACGATGAATACAAATATAAAATGTCACCTGTCACCGGCCTGAACTATATCGACAGTCTCCGCTCTCAGGATAACTTGAACAGAGCGAGGAATACATCCTCTTGGCAGCTCGGCTTGTGTTTCCTGAATCCTGACTTTTTGAAAGTCAACGAACGTAGAGTTATCCACATCCAGCATAAATCTGCGCCTGTTACTGCATACAGGATTTTGACAAATGGCTGGATTCGTAAACTAAACCAAATTAATGATAACTTGAATCAATAAGCTCCGAATAAAATGACAATTTCAAAATTAAGTTATCCATCATATTGCTTACTTTAAATTGTTGCTCAACATTTTTTATCACTGCATTACAGTCTAAACAGAGAAAAGTACCGAGCACCAGTTCCGGATGAACCGGATGAGTCCTAACGACTTGACCAGATATTCGAATCAGAGTTCCAATTTTGGAGGTGGTAAGTTCTCTAACTTTGTGACGTGTAGGTACGTCGATAAGACTCACATAACACTCCTTGTCTTTCCGAACTCCCTCAATGTCCTTAATAAAATTGCAAATGGCTTGGCAGAGATACGGATACACTCTGAAAATATTCCAAAAGTTACAATATATATTTCAATAATAAATTTTGGATTAAAGTAAGATTATTAGCGATCGAAACTGCGACGATTACATTACCTATAATATTCTTCTATAATTGTGGTCGACAGAGCTTGATTATACTTCTCTATATCATCGAATGACACTTCCAACGTGCTTCGTTCAGGACTTACTAATTCTTTCACAGGCTCGTGGTACTTCGGCACTCCTTCTTCCTTATATCTAGGATAAAATATTAAATCATTTTAAACAAGACTGTTATTCCTTAAATAACAGACAACATCGAGTGGAAATATTGAAAAACATTCGAAACATGATAAGGCAACAAGTACCGCTATTTGTAGGTTACCGGTACTCACTCTTGAAGGAAGTCGTGAAATAACTTCTGACACTTCATTCCAACCTCATCTCTAACTTGTACAACGTTGCTTTCAGGAACAGCCATAATTAATTACAATTAAAACTGAAACATATAAACGAAACCAAACACGGTTCAAACAAATCAATTAACGCGGTAAACATTTATCGGTTTGGCGGGAAATGTACGTGCCATTGAATACCAGAGATGAGTTGGGACATTGCTCGCGGGCAAGGTCGCACGATCGAGTCCTATGCTGCCCTCTAGTGGTAGATGCAAACGTCTAACGCACTTGTCCCCAAAGGTGTTGCAACGAATTTCTGTTGGCGACTTGCGTACGAATCGGCGCCGTGCTGCCTCATAACAGAGTTCGGTCCATCTGTTTATTTTCAGCCGGACAGGGTAGAAAAAATGCATTTGGCAACGAGGAATAGAAATTCTGTATATTTTAGAGTACAACGCGGGTGCTCTCTTCTCATATCTTTGAGAACTTCCGATGTTCTCTTCCGGGTCTCTCTAGTAAGATTTCTCTAGTGCTTTGTTGTGCCGGAGATGTCTCAGGTTGCGTGCTCCCCGTGGCGGTCGCGGGAGCTGTCGGTAAAGCCGCCCTTTTTAGAGTTTGCGACGTCGCGCTGCGGACGCTGCGGGAAGCGGCGGCGTAACCGCCACATACGCGCGATGGCGTTGCCATCTAACGGACGGACGGACGAAGGAGGGAAGGAGGGAAGGAGGGAAGGAGGGAAGGAGGGAAGGAGGGAAGGAGGGAAGGAGGGAAGGAGGGAAGGAGGGAAGGAGGGAAGGAGGGAACGAGAGAACGAAGAAACGAAGGAACGAAGGAATGATTAAATAAATTATTATTGTGACGTTATTTTTAATGACATACTCCCAAACAGAATTCTGGCAATTAATGTTCCGACTCTTTGGCGAAGTCAAAAATAAATGATCGAAAAATATGGTCTCCGTATTGTATTCGCTCAACAGCAATAAAACTTTTGGGCGCCAGGCCCTCCAAAGGGCCAATCCGGGACCCGAACCGTACGGGCATAATCCGTCGGGGCTCGCACCAGCGTGCAGGAGCCCACGCACCAGCGATGAGCCTCCAAACCCACTGACGGATTTGCACCAGCGTAAGGCCCGAAGGGTCGGTCCCTCAACCAACGGAAGGTGAAAATGATCCTAAAGTCCTATACACGTAAAAATTGAGAAAAGACGTGAAAAGCAAACTAGACGCGGAATTAAATTAATGACCCATTTATTTGCAACTGAAAAGAATTGATTCTAACAATGTGACAAAATTGCCAAGGGCGGGCCCTCCCCTCTCCCCCTCTCCCTCTTAAAAATGCTCTGGTGATCGCGTAGTGTCCATAGTCATAGATACGTGCAGGGAACATCCGTGGACGGCTATAAATGCGGTCCCACTGGCTGCGGTAAAACGCATTTCGTGAAGATGTTCTTTCGTCACGTGAACGACATGACGGACGTACCGCCCGAGCGCGTTCTCTTCTACTATTCCGAGTGGCAGGATGCTTATCGCGAGTACGGCGACGGGGTGGAATTTCGCGAGGGTCTACCTCGCTCGAGCGACTACGCCGACGATCCTCGCTCGAAGCTCGTGATCATGGACGATCTGATGTGCGAGGCATCGAACAATGCGGTGATGGATCTCTTCACGAGAGGTAGCTATCACAACAACCTGAGCGTGATCTTCAGCACGCAAAATCTGTTTCATCAGGGCCACGGGCAACGCGACATCTCGCTGAACGCCAATTACATCGTCGTGTTCAAGAATCCGTGAGCTCGCGCGCAGATACGTCATCTGGCGCGCCAAGTGTGTCCGGAGAAGCCACGATTCCTGCAGGAGGCTTATCATGACGCCCCGTCGCTACCTCACGGTTATCTGTTGCTCGATCTGTAACAATCGACGCCCGATAATTGTTGTTTTCGCGCGTGTATCTTTCCCGACGAGGGGGAGTATCAGTACGCGTACGTTCCGCGCGCATCCCTGAAATAAAAACGAGAAATCGCCGAGACGACGCATCAGTCGCGTCATCGTGAAAACGTCGGCCCTATCAACAATCTTCTGCACTCCATGTTCAACCAGGTGGATGTATTCTTCAATCAGAAACTCGTGTCACCGCCTAATAACGCCTACGCGTACAGAGCGTACATCGAAAAATCGCATCTTACGAGCTCGCTGTGGTACGGCGATACAGCCGGTAAGATGAACTGCGTAGACGGAGATAACGAGGGTCACAAACGACGCTGCGCTTTGGCCGGCGTTGGGAAGCCTATCGATCTTATCGGCCATCTACACTGCGATGTCTTCAATCAAGATCGATTTTTGTGAAACGGTGTAGAGATACGTTTGCGTCTAGTGCGCAGCCGCGACTCGTTTTGTCTCATGGACCCGACGGACTCGTTTAAAGTACACATCCTAGAGGCGAGTCTGTTCGTGCGCCGAGTAAACGTAAACCCTGGAATACTGTTGTCTCACGAGCGCGCGCTGGCTAAAACCACGGCGAAGTATCCGCTCACGCGTGTAGAGGTGAAGGTCATGTCGATGCACTCTGGTTTGCACGGCGAGACACTGGACAACGCGATTCTCGGCCAATTGCCGAAACGAATCATTCTCGGTTTCGTGGATAACAGAGCCTTCAATGGCGATCGCAAACTCAATCCTTTCAATTTTGCGCACTACAACATCAATTATCTGTCTCTGTATGTGGACGGTATTCAGGTACCGTCAAAACCTCTACAGCCGGATTTCACCAAGAATCGTTTATACGTGGACGCGTACCACACGCTGTTTTCTGGTACCGGCAGGCATTTTCTCGATCAAGGTAATTGCATCGATCGGGAAAAATATCCCGATGGCTATTGCCTCTTTGCCTTTGATCTGACACCCGATCTCTCGGCCAATGAGAACTCCCATTGGAATCTCATCAGGCACGGCAGCGTAAGAATCGAGGTGCGATTCGAGAACGCTCTGTCGTCGACGGTAAATTGCATCATTTATGCTGAGTACGAGAATGTTCTGGAGATAGACGCATCGCGCCACGTTCTGGTAGATTTCAACGGCTAAGCAGAGTGAGAGAGGTGGGGAACACGGCACATTTTTTCATAAAGTCTACGCGGACATCGCAGTGGGTGGTCGCGTTCAGTCTCTCGAGCGACTTTGTTAACCATGAATCTAGTGATCGTCATCCAAGGTTTCCTCGACATCGAGGAACTCTTCATCCCGAAGGAGGTAGCCGTGGTAGCCGTGTATAGCGATTTTATCGCTCATTGGATCGTCGCGCCGCCCTACCCCTTCAACGATCTGCCGCCTCGCTCTCGCTCGCAGAACAATTGGCTGAGCAGACATCATCATGGGATAGAGTGGTTCGACGGTGATGTATCGGCCAAAAAGCTGTACGAAAATCTGCAGGCCATCACCCACCATACCGGCCGAATATTCGCGCGTGGGCGCGAGGAGGCTAATCTCCTGCGCAACATCATGAACCGGGAGATCGTCAATCTGGAGGAATCGGAGGAGTGCCCCTCATTAAAAAATCTTCCTCAAGTCGGCGATCAATGCGTATACCACGGTGTGCGCAAAGCAAACAAAAATTTTTCGTGTTCGCTAAATAACGCGAAGCGTATACGCGAGTGGTTGGTTCGCCAGAGGGATCCTCAGCAAACGGACTGTCATCCGAGTTGCGCCGTTTGCGGCACCACCTCCTCCACCACCACGATGTCGGCGGATACCGTCCTCCTCCAGGAGCACGAGCGGAAACCTACCGAACTAGGTAGCGAAGGGGTGGACGAGCCAGACGGCGACGGTGTCTGCGCCACTTCGTGAGCAACGAGGGCTCGTTATTATTGTTATTAAATTGAACGGAGGTAGGAGTACGAACTTCATTCGGAAACTATCCGTCCGGCGGTCAACAACGCTCAAACGAAAAAACGATTCCGCTGCGTACGCCCCCATCCATGAACAGCGTGGAGATTCGCGAGGCGCTGAGCGGACTACCCTCCAGGACTATCGGCGTGTATCCGGCCGACGAGATACCGAAGGTGTGGACCAAACCGGCATCTCTCGTGGTCAACACCGATGATCACACGAAACCCGGAACCCACTGGATCGCCATGCACGTCGGCAGAGATGGGCACGGATACTACTTCGACAGCTACGGGCTGCCGCCTATCGTACCCCAGCACTTGGAAAGACTCCGAAGAAATTCGCGATATTTCGATTTTAACAATAAGTTGCTTCAGAGCGAGACTTCCGATGTTTGCGGGCAATTCTGCGTGGTATTTCTGCATCTTATGTCTAGCGGTTGTAGCCTACATCGCTTTCAGCGTTTATTCACGCGGGATACTGTAAATAACGATAAGATAGCTCGCGAATATTATGCCGCGTACGTAGCTAGTCGAAAGGAGCGAAATAGCGGTTATGTTAATTGCGTTAGCCATCATCAATGTCGTCAGGGCTGCTGTTCTAAACGCAAACGATGGCAGGAAGTAAATAAATGTATTCCCGAAGTACCTCCGTTTATTCTGAATAAAATTGAAAAATGTATGTATAGTCGTAATCTGCTGTGTTATTTATTAAAAAAGGAATCCAACCTCTGTCGTTCCCGAATGCATTTCGCAGCTGCGTCGGAACGTTCTCAAGCTTATCCTCGCGCATAGAACGCGCCGTCAACGCGATTTTTTTTTTGGCTTTGCGCGCGTCACCTATGCAATTCAACCGAAACCGTGAGTATCGGTTAATCGCCGCTGCATCGAAACATCCGGAGAAGAAGAAGAAGAAAGAAGGGTACCGAACTCTTCTTCGTGGTCGTTTATCTCCGCAACTTTGCAATCTCGTTGAAACCCTACCACTGAATCGTCAGTTTTTTTTTAAATTCAACGTCGTTCTCGAGACGACTGTGGGTAAGCCGACACCTCGCGAGAAGGTCATTTTTGAATTCATCCATTCCGCGTGTGCAATCTCCATGGCAACGGACTTTGGACGAATAGCATAAATCGACGTGTAAGCAGTATTCTACGGATACTATAAATACCGAGAAAGCACCCCGCGTTCTTCATTATTCGTCAGTTGGACGTCGGGTTAAACGGTGGAAAGTAAGCAAGCAAGCAACGACGACGACCACGATGAGTCATTCATCTTGAGACGAGTATGTGCTGTCGAGCTTTTACGGTTTGAATTTTTCGTACTCCAAATTCATACGAGTCGGGCTGCGGCGGACTACTCTGGACAGCGATGGAAAGGACGTCTTCGTGGCGACGGTTCAGCTGGGAAATTCCAGTGGCCTACACGGAGTGACTTTCGGCATCGAGGAGTGGCGACGACTACTGGAGGAGAGCTTTGAGAAAATCACCGCGTACCTGGATTCCGACGACTACCAATCGCTCGAGCAGCCGATGCTCACGGAAAAGCATACGACGCTGCCGTCTGTATGGGCGGTAAAGCCGTCATCTTCGATAAACGAGTGTCGAAGGATGCATCGGCGGAGCATGGAGCTAGCAACGCTGGTGAACCATCGAAGAAAAAACGCAAACACTTCGAATCTACCGTCATTATGAAGAAACCTACATTCGACGGATTAAAGAGCCTTCGGTTTGCCGTGGATCTTCGACTCCGTTACCTCGAACTGTTCGTCGATGCCGTCAACGTGTGTTGGACCGTAATGCGAGGTAACTCCAGCCAAGGACGCGAACAACTTCGAGACATTGTCATCGGAACCGAGGAACTCAAGAAACACAAGATATGCGAACATCCGTTCTCAGTCTTTCTCTCTCTTACTCGCGGCTGGCGCTCTAGCGTACCCCCACCACTCTTGACACTATGGTAAATGAGAGGAATGGGGGTACGTGACGTGACGTGACGTCACAGGCATACACACCTCTCTCTCTCGGGAGATAGTCTTTCTCTCTCTTACTCACTGCTCGCGCTCTAGCGTACCCCCTCTACAGCCCTATACATCCCTCTCTCTCGGAAGATCGTCTTTCTCTCTCTCACTCGCGGCTCGCGCTCTAGCGTACCCCCACCACTCGTGGCACTATGGTAAATGAGAGGAGTGGGGGTACGTGACGTAACGTGACGTCACAGGCATACACACCTCTCTCTCGGGAGAGAGTCTTTCTCTCTCTTACTCACTGCTCGCGCTCTAGCGTACCCCCTCTACAGCCCTATACATCCCTCTCTCTCGGAAGATCGTCTTTCTCTCTCTCACTCGCGGCCCGCGCTCTAGCGTACCCCCACCACTCGTGGCACTATGGTAAATGAGAGGAGTGAGGGTACGTGACGTAACGTGACGTCACAGGCTAACTCGGCGCCGGTGACGTCATTTGTTTAGTCTACCCAGAGTGGTTCCAATCTACTTAAGGAACCTGCGTAGTCCTGCGTTGAAAATTCGTTTAATTATTGCATGTAATTTAATTATTTTTCGGCAGCCGCCTTGGTGTTAATATTTAAAGCCCCTCGACGGCGCCGGCCATCTTCTGTTTCCTTTTTATATAGGTGGCGAGCGTCCCTATTTCCCTTGTTTCCTTACCTTCGGTACTTTTTCGTTAATATTGCTTTGTTTTCTAATTCTTGTTGGATCTCGCGAAGTCATTGTAAAATAATTAATTTCTTGTCGACGCGCTTGCGGCGCGCGCATTAATTTTCCGAAGTTATGTCGAGTTCGTGCCTTTTGGCAATTTGTTAACTTTCCCTTCCGGAAACAGTTATTTCAAAAAGCTTTCTTTTTGATTCCGTTTCTTGCCGGATCATTGTCGGGTTTTAGCCGTTCGGCTTATTGTTAAAATCGATCCTGTTTATTAATATTGGCAACCGAAAGTTAACTCGGGTGAATAAATCGAACTGTGATTTGACCCTTTAGTTGGGCAACTTATTTTATTTTATTTATTTACCAAGGCAGACAGTTCCCTTAAATTCTCAAAAAGAAATCGGGTCCCTTCCAGACGATTCGAATTACAGTTAAGCGCCCTTACCTCGCCCCTCTCCGCGGCCATTTCGGTGGCCAACCCAGCTGAGCTAGCTGACCCTTCGCCCTGGCCGCGAAGCCTTCAGGAGTAGCGACACTTTTTGGGAAAGTCTTCTCCGAGAGCGGGCCTCGGAGAAGCCGGGGATAAATCCTTCGCCCTCGCCTTCCGGCTCCGCTCTCGCGGGGAGAGCCTGAGCCCTAGGAAAGGGCGGCCGAAGGGCCCCCGAAATTTGGTGTCCTAGGACGCCTGCCGCCCAACCGGAATCGGATTTGTGTGTGTGCTCAGGGGTGGGTGCGAGCCAGGGCAGAGGATAGGGACATTGGAACGTAGCGCCCTTTTGTGACCCAAAGGTATCCCCCTGAACGGGACCGAAAATGAAATCCGTTACAGTACATACGTATATATCTACTCACACTGTACGGAGGTCTTTGAAATGCAGTAAAAGCACACCAGCGGCAATGAATACCGTCTCTGGTACTAAATATGTACCGTATGCGCATGCACGAAAGGAGTTCCCGTAGCTGAAGTTCTTCGAGCGAACATGTAGATACTTCTTGTGAACGACGCGCTGCCTTCGACGCATGCGCAAGCTCTGCAATAATAATTCATGAAATTCTATACAGAGGTGCTGTAGTCGCTTAGACAGAGATTCTCTGCTTGAAATCACTCCACCTCATGGGGTGGGGAGCAGCTGTGTACAGATCAGTGGACCTTCCCCAACCTTGCACTGATGGCATTTCACCTTCTCCACACTTCCCCAACTTGAAATGTTTGACTGATTACTTAGGAACCATAGGAATAGTTGGAGAAATGAATTGAAGTTATATTATACAAAAATTGTAGTAATATGAAATTTTACAAATGATCATGTCCTCGGAAGAGACAGAAGACGACAAAACAAATTTCCTACTGGCAGGCATCATCGAAATGCCGTTAAAACTTGGACAGGGTACAGTTAAACGACGTTTATTGGTATGA